ATTTTGTAAAACAAGAAACGTTGAAAAGAAGTATTTTTCCATTAGACTAATTTCTCACTTTAAACCTTCCTTAGCTTCGTTTTCCTTATTGGTATGTCCAGTTTCAATAGCCTGATGGTCAGTGAAACGTATATTCTATTGTTATTATCAATTTATTTATTTCAAAAGCATTCATAGTAAAATTCAACTGCCATATTCTTATTCGTATCAATTTTCTAAAACGTCACTATTGCTTTACATCATCATCCTGGAATTTACATAAACCGTCAAAAGTGCCCTTTATCCTCGCAAAGTCTTCTTTTTTTTTTAAATGTAAAAATGTTGACCTTGATTTTCACTCTAAAATAAGCAACTCAACACAAAACACAATAGACGCATACAGCCATGATGCGTCTGCCAAGGCAGTTTACGTGATACGTGTCAGAATGCTTCTACGTCCTGACAATTCAGGGGATTTAAAAATCCAGTGTACATTGGAAATGTTGTCATTTGGAGACCGGTGGCTCGTTAAATGTTCTCTGTGTCCCTATGTATTCCAATTTTAATTCCCTTTGTGACAAAAGTTGTCGTAAAAGTGACAAATATATCTCATAATCAACCATAAAAATCCAAACAAAAAAACATTTCTGAAGTCATAAAAAAATTCCACTAAAAGCAGAGTCAATATGACGACTTGATCACAAACATTTTTTACGAATCATTATGAAATACTGATGAAAAAGAAAAGGTGATTGCATCCTGATATGAATGTAGAATGCGTTTTAGAAAATGGTCAAATGCAACATGAGCTATATTTGGGATTACACGTTCTTAATAAAGTACAGATTCTTGTACTTTTGTTGGGTTGGGCCTCAACCCAAGTGAGCACTAGAATGTGTACGTGCTGTCTGGGGTGTCGGTGTGGGAGGAATGGGGGGACAGTTGCCATCCATCTAGCGCGGAACTCAAGGGACACCGTGAGAGAACTAGGCGTGACACCAACACACAATGTGCTGTGATTAACGACTGCATTATTACATCAACTACGTCGCAAGTGTATCCTGTCCAGGACCCACGCCTTGTAGGGCGTCAGTCGTGTCATTTCAGGGATTGTCTTTCCTTTTACGTATTTTCTAGAAGAAAAGTACCCTTTTCACATCATAGGCGGATCCAGAGGGGGGTGGGGGGTGCAGGGGTGCGCAGGGGTGCGCACACCCCTAATGTCCTGAAAGTTTATTAAATGACCCATGAAAATGGGTGAAAATGAAGTGTGCACCCCTCCTTTTCTCAAGAGTGTGCACTCCCCTTTCTCAAAAAGCTGTATCCGCCCCTGCACATGTGCCACTTCCTGCAGAGAACACTGATGTGTCAAAGTGATAACGTACAGTTTGGTCGTCCGTGTAGTGTCATTGTGTCGCATGCAAGCTTTGGGCTTTCGATTTCCTCTCATTAATTGAAGAACTTCTAAAAATCATCCATCCATCTCCTGAATATGTCAATTAGCGGTGTTGCTTTTAGAAAAGGTAGTCACGATGATGCAGATAACAACATATTAGAAGACAGGGGTCGCGCTGTTGGACACACTCGCGGAATGGATAATGGAAACAGACCTGTATATAAATCAAAGAAACAGACCGGCGTCCAATGGCGACTAGGAAACTCAGTCATCGCCATGGCGATTCATTTTTTGGTGTTGTTTTTTGTTCCAGCATCTAAATATATCACCTGTCAATATTACCTTGACACTCAATTATAATGCAAATGAATAGGGGGTTTTCAGGAGTTAACTGCGAACAGTTGTTTTGATGGAGATGTACATTAGAAGGAACACTGCTGGAAAAGCTGAGGTTTCGAGTCCACGACCATCACTTGCCTGCCTCGTCTTTTGAACACTTAATTGTAGATTCAATTGCTGCATCATGTCCCACGGGATTATCCCAACACATGGTTGTGCACATGAACCTCAAGGATGGCCTTTCGCGCATCTAGAGGCATCGATTGGGAAGTTACTACTAACTAAATGGCAATATCTCAGCCTGTTGTTTCTTCTACAAAAGTCATACCGTCAACGCCAGAGATTAACCAGTACCAAATTACACAACGTAAAAGATTCCATCTGGCGTAAAAGGCAAACTAGTAGGGGACAAGACACCAACAGTGAGGAAACACTGCTGACGAAATAACGATTTCATCTTTTGTCACATACATGAATACATAATGATTATTTTGTACATGGGTCCATGTCATTATTACAAAATAAACGTCTACACGATTATTTCAGCGATCAATTTGATCAAGTGTCCTTGTGTATGGTGGCACCGGAGCCTGACCACCCCGACCTTCACGAGTTGGGGCAACCATGGGTTACTGAAGACCAAATCTGGCCAGATCGCGACGGACAAACATGTGTTGCTGAAATCAAATGAACCTTATCTAAATGTGCCTAGATTAATGAACAGATAAGAACTGCCATTGTGAGGTTGATCACTGGATTGTCTCGTCCAGACTCGATTATTTACAGACTGCTACATAGCTGGAATAGGGCTGAGTGCGCCGTAAAACTAGTCATTGTATCCCCTTAATGCCGAGCACCAGACAGGGCAACAATAAGTACCATCTTTTAACGTCTGTGGGCGTGATCTGGCCGGGTGAGTGAGTGAGTTAAGTTTTACGCCGCACTCAGCAGTATTCCAGCTATATGGCGGCGGTCTGTAAATAATCGAGTCTGGACCAGACAATCCAGTGATCAACAGCATGAACATCGATCTGCACAATTGGGAACCGATGACATGTGTCAACCAAGTCAGCGAGCCTCGACACCCGATCCCGTTAGTCGCCTCTTATGACAAGCATGGGTTACTGAAGATCTAACCCGGACCTTCACGGGTTGACCTGGCCGGGAATCGACCAACCTTCGGCTCTCCGAGCAGACGCAATATTCGCAACACATATATGCCAACACAGTAAAACACAAACTAAATACTGCTACAGTCGCAATTCTTATTGCCTTGTCTGAGCCATAAATCTCTACCGGCCTGATGTATGGAGGCGGGGTTCTAGGTTAAACCTGATCCAAAATTATCGATACTGCCACAAGATCAACATCTGAAGTTGTTTGCGGACTGTTCAGTTAGAAACACAAACAATGAAATCAATCACTTTTAATGCTGTTATAAAGACAATGATACCCCCATGGGAAAGAAACGGGTCTCCGATATACACAATGTTCGTCTTTCGGGCGATTACGATCTGGGAAAGGTCAACATTAGACCCCAACCCGGAGGAAAAGTCTCTTAAGGACTGAAAGCCGAGTAAGATAAATGGTTCTGAAGACTGGACAGCGACGTAATGGTTCCGAGAGCTTTTATAGTTATAGTTGTTTTGTGCCGCAGTCTGCAATATTCTAGCTGTATACAAGCGGAAGCTAAACAGTTAAGTCAGTTATTGATCTCATCAAGCAAGTCGCCTGACCTGCCAGACTCATTTAATCATCTGTAACAAACATGGGCAACCGGGCACCTGTTCTAATTCCTGGTCTCCTCGGTAGCCAAAGAGGAAAATTCACTTCAAGATTTGTAGACGAACGATATGTCACGTAACTTCTTTGTCAGTATTCACAAAGCATCTCAGACAAGTCTTTATCCCCTCTCAAGTGCTTAGTCGTACAGTGGATTCTAATTTTAGGGTAGATTTCTTGATTAGAAAACGGTTTTGTCGATTTTATCGACTTCATGATTGGATACCCAAGACTGTGAAACACTGTACATGTTATAGACCAAACATCAGCAATGCTGTACTGGCGAGCAAGGGAGACGATTTTTATCATAGTTTAATTTATTATTCCAGCCACTGTTAATTCTTTAACGCTACATTCCAGCGATGCATTACCGGCTTCGAACAACGTCTGGACCAGACAATCCAATGACTGCAATCCTGAGATATGACCAGGCTTGAGCGTGATGATCACAGATTCCCGGTCACCTAACCCAGAATCCTCACGATGGTCAAGCCATCTGGCACGCCACCAAGATCATGTGTATTACAGATACGTTATTATTCTGACAAAACACTTTGAGTCCCAAAACATTTTAGACATTCCTGCTCCTACAAATACAGTTTTCTCATGCAAATTGACATAAACTACTTTTTCAGTTCTCTTACCAGCTACCAATTTTATGAAAAAATATTACTGTAAAATACTAGCAATTTGTCAATCAAATATATACAAGTAGTTTCCTTAAAAGTAAACTTATGAAGCATATTTACAAAAACTTCAAAGTCATCTCTGTTATCTTGCAAGTTTGCTGGTCCCTTTAAATACGCGTGTATTGAAATTTCAACTTTCAACTAGGAATATCTCCGAACTCATCAAGGACATTCTGAAGTCAAAGTCAGCCACTAATTTCTGAGTGAAATCCTCCAGTGATTCAAGCCATAAACGAAGATTGGGTGATTCAAGACTTCATTTAGTCCCTTCAAGACTTGGGTAGATTGATGTTCATGCTGTTAATCACTGGATTGTCAGGCCCAGAGTCGATTTTTACCGACCGCCGCCATATAGTTGGAATATTGTTGAGTACGATGTAAAAGTAAACTCACTCACTCACTCACTCAAGACTTGATTGATTGCGTGTCATCCTACACTACAGCTTGGACTGACGGTCATTCAATCACTGGTTACAGGCGACTTTCACACATAACTGTAATTATCCAAACCTAGATGTTTACAAGCTACCATCACATAACATTAACCTACAGTTTTCAATGTCCAAACCCGACTGTTTAAAGCTACCACTACATAACATTATTCAGCGGTTTACAGGTTACCGTCACATAACATTAATCATCAGTTTTCCTTGTCCAAACCCGACTGTTTAAAGCTACCATCACATAACATTATTCTGCAGTTTTACGTGTCCAAACCCGACCATTAACAGGTTACGGTCACATAACATTAATCAGCAGTTCTACAATCACATTACAAGAACTCACATTCAGCAAACAAAACACATTCAACTGTGTACAAATATCAGTTTATTAGCTTAGACAAAATAACAAGTGTATATTTCACAAACATAAGATACAAAACACTTGTGTCATTTTCTTTAATAGGTATGTGGTGTACAAAATGTTCGATTTTCATTAACAATATTCAACTGTAATGTAATAAATTAATGGTTACACAAGTAATTATGAGTAAGGGAGTTTGGTTTAATGCTGTTTCAACAGTATTTCAGTTATATCACAGTGTATTGCTGGAGGAAAGCCTGACATGATACATGTCTAAGTGTTCACTACTTCTATGAGACCACCAGCAGGTACAGGGCACTGACAAACCCATAAACATCATCAGGGCAAATCCCAGGTTTGAACCCACGTTCCTAGGTTTCTGGCAGGTCAAAGGGACACAACTCTGCCCGTGAGCACATTATACAACTGCACCATACATTCACCCAGCCTTGATCATGAGAGGAAATGTTTCTCACAACAAATCTCACAACGAACATCATGTTCAGGAGACGATAAATCATGTATAATGACCGAGCAAAAATCCCACATAGCGATTTCATCTTTTCTGAAGAGCTTGCTTCCCCTTTGACTTTTTTTTCTTCTGGCCTTTCTTGTTCTTCTTATTCTTGGTGTTCATCATCTTCCTCTGTTTTTGTGGGATGTAATCTGAAACAAGAATGTGCTCTGTTACATCATGACTCATAAAGGCAGAAAGTTGTAGTGTAATAACCGTCCTACATCTTGGTTTGTAGCTAATCCATATCCCCAATAGCTTGTTGACTATCCTTTGAGTATTGCACGTTTGTTCTTAGCTCCAGATAAGCTTCTTATCTGCACAGAATATATTATCATTATTACCCAATTATTTCTGATTTGCTTGTGTACAAATATGCAGGTTAAATATATAAAAACATCATAACAATAGGTCAGGAATTACCCAATATAGCTTTGGCATATTCCTTACAAATCTTTACTCCCATTGGAACATAGGTATGGACTCCTCTTCAGTGAAGGATGCCACAAGGGCTAGATCTTGCTTGTTGTGACTTAGATTTTGGCTAAAGATAGATTTTTATTCTGCTTCAAGACAACAATTCCTTTACTCTGACAGGAAGAGTGAAGCAACATTTTAATAGTCAAGGGGTCAATAATCAAAATCACAAAGCATGAAAGTTGCATCAGCATTTCAGCAGTTCAAAACTGATTTTATCTTTATTTTCACAGGGTTTGCTATTATTTAACCAAAAACAAATATACAACTCTTACAGCATAAGCTTTACTGTACAGCCAGGGAGCACCACTTACATGTGAGTCTTGTCTTTCCATTTCCATGACCAGGGTGCCGTTGTACAAAGCAACCTTAGCACTATGCCATTCTTAAGTCAATGTTAAGGTATTGGAGTTATGATCACCTTAGCGCTAAGGTTTCTTTGTAAAAGGGCAACCTGGTGTAAAAGGGCAACCTGGTGTAAAAGGGCAACCTGGTATAAAGATAAAACTTTTGGGGTTTGATCCTGGCTGAATCACACCCCAAATATATAAAATGATCTTTTCTTTACCCAGCTTAGCATGAAGGACATAAAACAAACCTTGGCGCCAGCATTCTGCGTCTGTGGGGGTTTCCATGTTAATCTGCAGCCTTGTATCTGACTGAACCGGCATGACAACACTGATCCAGATCAGTACCAGCAGAAACAGAGGGAAGGATATACACACACACTCCTCGCTACCTGAGGTAACACTATGTTACACGCTATTTAACCTGATCTCCCCTTCTGAATCTAATGCTACGGATGAACAATGAAGCCTTTTGAAAGAATTAGACCTGTCTACAACCTCTGCAAGAAGCAGACCTAGACACTTGCTATCTCAGTACAGGAAATGACTGTCTACCAACACTGAGTTTTACCAGACAAATTCCCCACGAATGAAGGAACACGTATAGGTCAGGGTGACTGTGGGTACACAGAGAATAACTAGCCACTGATATCACATTTACATGTTCTTTCTGAAACATGGCTGAATGAGAGGACAGTGTTTGTGCAGTTTGCAATTGATTTTCAAATCCATCAAGAGAAAACTAACAGGATCAAAAGGAGCAATTTATCTCATGATGAGTGGGTGTCTCAAGTTTCATCGTTGTCTTGCAATCAGAAATTTCCATAAAGTAGCTCTGACATTGATAGACTATTTTGAGTAATGCCTCATTTGCCTCCACAGAAGCACATGTTAAGTGAACTCTGATTGCCCAACCTAAATAAAGGATGGAAGGGTCCATGAGCTAATCTTACGCCAGCTTCAATCTTGGCAAATATAACTGCTACAGAGCACAAGAATACCTTCAACCGTACATATAATGCTGTGGGGTGTCTGGGAGTTGGCCATCACAACTCATTAACTATATGTTTTCAAGATACAGAAATAAAAATGCTTGTCTGAATGATTCATTCACTCAAATCAAGAATTTAGAAGTCGTGATTCTGATTGGATGACTTTCAAACAAGGCAGTATAGAATAAGGGAACGAGGTCTGATATTTAAAACTGATGAGGTTTGATAATTCCAGCTTAAAACATGAGTCTAGCTCTTTCAACCATACTGAAAACAAAACAAATATCACAAAGGCCCTGTCCTCACCTGACATGCAGAGTGTTACTGATACAGGTGAGCTATAACATTTCCACTAATCTTGCAATGTGACACCTACCTGATGGCTCAAATGTGCAGGGGATCCGCCCCCTGTTTCCGGTGAGCAGGGAGCAGCACTGTGGGGTCGATGGGGATCCATGGAACACTTGACTCGGTCTTCTGGGCAACACTCTGTCCGAAACCCATATAGCTGAATTTGAGGTCATACGATCCCCTAAAGGGAAAAATTCAGAACATCAAATTAAAGATCATCAAATTAATAATTTTGTTCGTTGGATGTTTACAGTATCACTGAGTAATGAACACTGACCTGCAACCAAGTCATGTAATATGACTTGAAGTGATCAATAAGGACTACCATCTCTTGCTTCAAACACAGAATTTCCCACAGCAAGACAACATGTTTGAACACATACTGTAAAACTGGTAATCGAGTGAGTGAGTTTAGTTTTACACCGCTTTTAGCAATATTCAACCACAGCAGGTTTGTTGGTTGGTTTGGTTTAACGCCACACTCAGCAATATTCCAGCTATATGGCGGCAGGTTTAACGCCACACTCAGCAATATTCCAGCTATATGGCGGCAGGTTTAACGCCACACTCAGCAATATTCCAGCTATATCACAGCAGGTTTAACGCCACACTCAGCAATATTCCAGCTATATGGCGGCAGGTTTAACGCCACACTCAGCAATATTCCAGCTATATGGTAGCAGGTTTAACGCCACTCAGCAATATTCCAGCTATATGGCGGCAGGTTTAACGCCACACTCAGCAATATTCAAGCTCTATGGCGGCAGGGCCACACTCAACAATATTCCAGCTATATGGCGGAAGGTTTAACGCCACACTCAGCAATATTCCAGCTATATGGCGGCAGGTTTAACGCCACACTCAGCAATATTCCAGCTATATGGCGGCAGGTTTAACGCCACACTCAGCAATATTCCAGCTATATGGCGGCAGGTTTAACGCCACACTCAGCAATATTCCAGCTATATGGCGGCAGGTTTAACGCCACACTCAGCAATATTCCAGCTATATGGCGGCAGGTTTAACGCCACACTCAGCAATATTCCAGCTATATGGCGGCAGGTTTAACCAGCCACTCAGCAATATTCCAGCTATATGGCGGCAGGTTTAACGCCACTCAGCAATATTCCAGCTATATGGCGGCAGGTTTAACGCACACTCAGCAATATTCCAGCTATATGGCGGCAGGTTTAACGCCACACTCAGCAATATTCCAGCTATATGGCGGCAGGTTTAACGCCACACTCAGCAATATTCCAGCTATATGGTAGCAGGTTTAACGCCACTCAGCAATATTCCAGCTATATGGCGGCAGTCTGTAAATAACTGACTCTGGACCAGACAATCAAGTGATCAACAACATAAGCATCGATCTGCGCAACTGGGAAGAATTCACCTCTTGTGCATTCATTCATCTTCTAATAGTTTATATTACCATGATATCATATACATATACATGTATATCTTTATCAGATGAACTATCATATTAGTAACAAACCATTTCTTAAGCAAAAACATTGCAAATTCTGAGAGAGATACATAGATATATTGTGTTACTTATAAACTTGATCTTCAGGAAATGGATACGGGCAAGAACTTGACAAAAATAATTAAATGTTAATTCAAACATTTCTGGTGTATTGAAATGTACATTAAGAAATGTCATCTATACTTTATACCTCCATCAGACACCAACTCACCGTTTGTTATCTGTCTGCTTCTGAAGCTGACAGGAGTTGTCTCCCTTTGAATGACGCAGCAGATACTGACCTACAGGAAGCCTGACAATACACAATTTTATATCACAATCAGTTTACAACTTGTATCATTTGGCATACAATTCGAAGAAAAAATAAGAGTTATTTCAGAAATATAGAAAGCATTAGTCTCTGTAGTTGTTTTATAACTGAATCACAACAGGAAAACAGGTGACAGCAGGAATGATGCAGTCTCACCAGCATCTGCTGGTCTGTTGTTGCTGGTTGGAGAAGTTTGTTTGAACATTCAAAAGCATGGAGCCAAGGCCTAAGGCCTTAAGTCTCTAAGAATGCATGGACACAACACAACCCAGTGCACAGAGCTACAGATAACGTTTTGGGTCATTGAGTTATGTATTCTCTTGTGGTCATCTCAATTGGGTATCCTAATTTTCCTTGGAGTAACCAAATAAATTGTACCCACCTCACTCAAACTCAATTGGGTATTTTGTCATTTTACATTAATTGTTAAAATATAATAAAGTTTAAATGTTAGTGTTTGTTATATATATTTGATCTGTAGTATGAGAAACGATAAGAGAGACTGCATGTTGCCAAGTTCATGTCCTGAAACAGAACCTCTCAGTATACCTCAGTTATTTTATCTATCCACCGGTACGCAAGCTAAGATTTGACACTTTTGTGTGTACGCGTGTAACATCACATCTATTGAGTATTTACAAAATTTCAAGCGTACTTGTATGCAATAGACTTAATAGGAATTGAGTTTTCGCATAAATATTTGCGTAATTTACGCAGATACGCAGCCTATCTGTACCTCTGCAGTGCAGGGGTTTTTTTTACACCAGTTTTCAAATTTGTGTTCATATGTTTCTCAGAAATTTGTTATCATTGGCAACACTACTTAAAGCAAGAAACCACTGAAATACAGTTATGCACCATAGCCTATCATTAAGAGTAGGCTCCAAACACCATTATATTACATCACTACCTGGGGAATATAGAGCCCAGACTGTCAGTGAGTACGAGAATGTCAGCTGTCACATTACCTCATCCTACCGGGTACCCACTCACTGCTGGTTGAACACAGATATATTTTGATTAAAGTCACGGGCATCAGCAGGAACCACATCTGCTCCACATGATTCAGAGAGAATCACAGAATCAAGAAATACATATTTTTTGACATTATTAGAATCTTGCTTTTAGCAATATTCCAGCTACATGCACAGGCCTAGACCATGTTGATGAACACATCTGCTGCTCATTTCAGCCTATGGATTAACACAAAACAGACATATTTTAGGAGCAATCAACTTATCCTTGAAGATTTTCAAATGAGCAGATTAGTGGCTGTCTCTATTCCTGTGAGTGTAGCCTATAAATAAACAATGGAGTCAGGACCAGATAATCCAGTGATTGATATAATAAGCAAGAAATATGCTACTGGGTATGATGACACTCCATTAAAGGTCACATGCAACGTAAAACACAACTTTGCAGATTCTGATACCTTCGGTATGGACTTACCGAAACAAATCGTCAAAAATGCAAATTCAACTTATAAAGTTAAAAAATAATGCGATGGAAAAAAACGCGCGAAATCGGAGTTCAAACATTTCACTAATTTTCCCCCGACTTTTCTGGGGAAAACGGGTTTCAACGGCTGGGCTGCGCTCATAGCACGTGCGCAGTGAAATAGGTTCGCTCAGCTTGGAAGCGGGTTGTCGGGTGAATACTCGGTGAAGGCTTTGGTGTGAGCTATTTTTCTAATGTTTTGTTGATATCTCACAGGTGCGAGCTTTTTTATATGATATGACAGTAAATTAACTGTTTATATAATTTCATTTGTCTATTTCACCACACGTTCTTCTTACCGAGTCACTTTCTCAGTTCGATACTTAAAAGCAATGTCATTATTCAGCTTTGTACAGAATTTCTAACTGTGATATAGATATGTCGTTGTCACAGACAAAACTCAATGTCTTGTTTTATTGACACCTGTGTGTCTGCCTGCCTGTCTGACAATATTCAATACACAGCTGCTATCACTGACCACATGCAATTTGAACTTAACACCAATCAGGCTATACACCATAAACAAAATGCATTGATTTATGGCCCGAGTTCGGTCTCTGTCACATTATGTAATTACACAGACAGGCAGGTGTGATACTTGAACACATGACATGTTATGATGTCTGTTGATTGCAAAATGTTATACACAAAAATGAGCCTGTATTTACAAAACCCAACATCTCTATATATACACACACAATGAGCCGTGAGGAAGGCATCTGCAAATGAACCAGCTGTTACACTTGAGTGCACACCCACCCGCTCTGACTGGGTTCGGTATCCCGGCTGCTTCGTTTCTTGGGAAGTAAACCGAAGTGCACAATTTTGCACTTTTGATTTGCGATTGTACGCTTATAATTTTGTTTATATGTTTTTTTACAACCAGCAATGTATATTATATGTCATGAATAAGTGATAACTGTGTTTTAATTATGTTTGATTTTTTGGTTGCATGTGACCTTTAACTAAGTTACCACGACTACGGATCCATTTTGTCTCCAGCTGCTGACCTATGCTAACCTGAAATTCCCACAGTGGTCGAAACAGTAAAACATTATATCAAACATATACTCACTCTGTGAGATTGAGGAAAAGACTGTGTAAAGAGGCAAGTGCGTTGCTTGGTCTGAAAATACAACAGAGCTGTGAGGATCCTACCAGTGAGGCACAGAAGTCTGTCTGTATCAATGGCATGCTACAAACTAGTGAGGCCTGGCCGTGAGACAGGTTCAGATAGTAAACATTTATACACGCTGCCAACAAACAGGGTATATCTATCTAAAAACACGACACTTAGAGCAGATTCTTGATAAATATAAGCATACCTGGGTCTGTTTATCACTGAAAGCTATACTTAACTACAGTGGGTCAACCAACCCCACAAAATAAAAGTGTAAATAATCAACAACCCAAAGACAATATTAACATAGGAAATTTACAAGTACACCACCATAGGAGTGTACACAGGAAGTGATCACTTTATCACCAATAGGACCAGCTCCATGAACATTACTGTTACTTATTCCAAAACCCTTTTGAAGAACTAAACAGAATCTCACATGTTCTTTCTCAAATGTTTGGCCACCTTTTGACCAGGCTTCAGTAAGACATATATCCAAAAGTTATTCAGCAATTTTCCAGCTACATGGCCACAGTCTGTACATAACTAAGTCTGGACCAGACTATCCCCTGACTTACATGATGGGCATGAGTCAATGCAAACTGAGATACAATTGCATGCATCAACCAAGGCCATGAGCCTGACCACGCAATCCTGTACGTCACATTTAATGACAAGCATGGGTTCCTGAAGATCAATTCTAACCCAGATCTTCATGGTTACATTTAATCATGTTATTCACAGACACGTCACTGAAACAATCAATCATACTGAAACACGTTATCCCAATTTACTTCATTCTACCTTTGCTGCTAAAAATTATTTGCAATTTCTCTCTTTTTCACAAAAAACAATCAATATATTAACTGTCAATAAAACAAATTATCCTGCAAACTCACACGAAAGGCAGGGACGGATTGACGATTGAGTTGAGCTCCAGTTCATCAATCTTCACCAGCTCTGATGTAAATGCATTAATTCGACCTACGCAAAATGAAAATATTACACAGACAGTTTCATTTTCCCCACAAGTAATGCTTCAATTGTTGACAACTTTGTCTGACAACGAATTTAACTGAGACTGTGTGTGGGATTAACACAGCTTTTACGATTGTTTCAGTTGTATTAGAACAGCATGTGGAAAACGATACAGTCCACAGTTATTAAGTTTAAAACCATTCAAGTGAGCCTTTAGCAATATTCCACCAGGAATTAGCTTGACATATTGTACCCATGAGTAAATTCAAACCAGTTGGAAAACAAAGAGATGCTTAAACCACCAAGGTGCCCCCCTTCCCATGATGCTACACATGGAACATAGATAACTGTTACATGGAATGGTTGTGTTGGATCCAGACCTCGAACCAGCTTGGTGCTGGGTTTGGTGTAGCAGGAGATCCAGTCCCGGGAGACCTCGCTGATTGTCACCTGCTCCACTCCGAACTTCACCTGGTACTCCAGCTTGGGGACAATCAGCACCGGCTGGGTCTGTCACACGTTATACACATGTACTACAACAGCACTAATCATAGTATAACATAGCCATGTACATATATCAGACTCAACACTTCATCCAAGCCATAATACAGTATACTTTCTGATACAACTGCAATGTTGAGTTGTACTATGATAATGTCGTGGATACATCACACGTGATTTCATATCTCACACCTACAGTGAAGTTATTGCAGACGCAGCGTTGTGCCTATATCAGTCTAGTACAACTTACAAGGCTCGACTGAAGAATCTCAAATAAAGGAAGCTGATTTAGTTGGCACCAGTACATGTTGACATAAATACATACTGGCACCAGACAAACCCAGGTTGCAACATACATGCATAACTTTGTCTAAATAAATAAAACTTTTGTTCCATGATTGATTTTACAAAATCTATGACATATTGTGTAAAACATAACAGTAACATGTGCACACAATGCTGAAAGTACCTAGAGTTCACACTAAAGCATTTCTGCTCAAGAATCAGTGGCCTTATTCCCGAAACGTTTGTAGCCCTTAAGAATTCTTAACATTGATCGTAGCCAATGTGTTAAGAATGGGCTTAAGAAATTCATAGGGATATGAACGTTTCGAGAATAGCTAGCCAGATTTTATACTGTAACACACATCTACATTAGATTGTGCAAAAACAGACAATACATGAACACTCACATAAAGCAGCATTGTGCTTTCTCCTCTTATATCACAAGGATTTAAGAGTTGAACACATGATTATACATAAACAACATCAGGCCTTATAACTTCCATAACAATACTTTATTTATTGCACATAGAGTAACAAGCACAATATTTACCACACCCCCATTATAACACCACAGTGTCATCCATTGTCCCACAGTGCCAAACAGTGCCATAAGTCTCCCACAATGCCAAACGGTGTCATACAGTGTCAAACTGTTCAGTGTCACATAGTGTCAAACAGTCACATGTCTCACAGTGTCTCACAGTGTCATAGAGTGTCCCACGATGTCACAGTGTCAAACAGTGTCCTAGAGCGCCCCACGGTGTCATACAGTGTCAAGCAGTCACAGTGTAAATGTACAGTACAACTACCTTCTGGGTGAGCCCCTTCAGGATTCCATGGCATGAATTTCGAACAAGCAAGCTGAGTCCGGAGAAATTCCATAGATTGTAAGACGTGTTGTGTTCCTCGGGCTGTCGAAACTGGGACAGGTTCTCTGACAAATACAGCATTGGGAATAGGGAATTACTGTATATTTGGGTGGAATATCATGACGACAAACCTATTGCTGTTACTTGTTTGAGAAAATAATGCTCGCCAAAATGCCTGAATGCAAGAGGACAAAAAGCCTTTACATACAGTACAGAAAAAACAGTGGACAGTGTAAATGTACTCATACATATACAATCCTAGGCTGATCTGTATAATAACTAATTGATTTGATAAGCAACCTTAATGTCTCTGTCAGAGATTTGCAGTAGACACAGTTCAGACAATGGTTTCAATTGATCACCATTTACAAGTAAGTAGTTACTGTAATCTTTAACAATTTAAGTAGTTGTCTCTTTTAATTTTTCTGATCCATCGGAACAGTCAGGCATAAATTTAATGCAAATTAAATTAATTACACTACTTTCACTTTATTTCAGATGATGTCGAATCATTAAACGAAAGAATTAAACTGAGTCAACATGTCTCCAGAGTGCTGTGGGTGGTTATATCAAGCAATGACTGGGGAAGGTTCCGAATCACCATATCTCATCAGCAGATGCCATAGGAAAACTCAATAGTGAAGGTTGCACATCACTGAATCAATCTCTTAATGAATCATAAAGGAACTAATAGAAAGTTAGTTAGTTTATGGGCTTGAAATGTGTACAATCACAAAATTCCATATGATAAAGCAATATGTCACATTTTGACGTGACTGCACCAGCTTACCCTCTGTGTCTTGTCCTGATGAACCAGCCTGGCCTCGGGTTGCTGTTGGCAACATCTTTTCCTGCATCTGAAGGATGGAGTCCAGTGGTGACACTCCTGCTGTTGTCATGGTTTTTCTTCTCCCTGGCCTCTTGGCAGAAGGGGGCATGTCTTTGCCTGATTGGAAACATGAAGATTAGTTACAAAACAGAAACTAAACTAAACACTGTATAATATATCTTTGCAGTCATGGCTGCTTAAAAGTCTTCAAAGACATTAATTATCTATTTCTTGCAATAATTGATATACTTGTTGTATTATTTGCTATTCCAATAAAATCAGTAACACACAGAGAAAAGGCAGTTAACATTTTTGTTCATACATACCAGTAGGCAAGATTTAGGTTTTGGAACATGCTTGGAGTTTGAGCTGAACTACAAATGCAGAAAACTACCCTAAACTTGCTGATTACACTAATTTACCCAAATTCATTAACAATCAAAACCTGCTACCACAGTCACCTGTTAACTGATGCATTGAAACTGCAAACCTATCTATCCTACCAAACAAACTGTCAAAGAGTATAAAAAAATATATTAGAGAGAAGTAGATGTAAAGACTTAATGCCAAAGTTGAAATTGAAAACCCTACTTGTATCAACAGATTTTACTCAAGACATATAACAACTGATCTAAATCTAAATCCTCAAAACATGTGTATATATAATCACCTTCTTTTGTCGCAGGCAACTGACTGAGGTCATCAGTGGAAGTTTTCATCATAATCGTGTCCACTTTAGAGGGACTAACTTCAGTCACCAAACTGGAAGTTTTTGCTGGTTCCTTGCACCCATCTTTACCACTGTCATCAGGTGCAGTAACTGACAAGGTCTTCGTGACCTTCTCTTTAACAGCTTCTACACTGTCAGGATCGTCACAGGCCTTGGATTCTGAATTTGACCTTGACCTTGTGACTCGAGATGAATGTCTGTCAGGGCTATTATCTGACTCGGACTCGACAGATGTTCTCATCTGTTCAGTTTTTCGTTTTCTGAGAATCCGTTTTGGAACTGGAAACTCATTTGACTCCACAGACCGACCTTGTGATCTGGTCTTTCTCTTGGTTGACTCATTTTCTGATTCATTTTCATCTCCAAAGTCAATAATGAGTCCGCTCTCATCATCGGTGCTGTCTGAGATCAGATCCTTCCCCACATCTGTCTGCCTGGTCAATCTAGGGCTACTTCTCACTGCCACAGCAACAACTTCAGGGCAGGACTTAGACTCAGAACTTTCTGATTCTTTCTTCTTTGCCTGTGACCTTGTTGACCTTGTTGTGCGGGGAGATGGACTGGGTGATTCTGGGAGGTCAATCACTAACGAATCCTCTTGCGATGTATCTCCACCAGAGGAACTGAATTTTGGAACTTTAGGTACACTTGTTACTTTCTTTGGCACTTTTGAGGCATCACTGGTGTCAAGTTTGGGAGTATCAGTTTGCTTGGTCTCAGAACCACCATCAGATGGTCTGGCAGATGAGGAAACTGATTTACTTCCACTAAAGTCCTCCTTATCACTTCCTATCTTGCTCATCTGCTCACAAGCATTGATTTTGGAATCATTTCTACCATCCAAAGGTTTGGATATGTCTATTTTTGATTTATCACTCGTTTCACGGTTGTCCATCTTGGTTTCAGATTTACGTCTCTTTCCAGTTATAATTCCAAATGATTCCAGATCTACCAAACCTTCCTGATTCTTCATCTCCACTGTCTTGGCAGGTTTGCTGAAGTCAAAAGAACCGAATGTTTCTAAGTCTTCCATGTTCACATCCTCATCAAAAGGGTTTGCTGATTTAGGCCTACTGTGCTTGTCTTCCTTCGCTGAGGTTGCAGGAGTGTTGTGTGTGGCAAGACGCTGCCCCTTAGGAAGGCCTGGATGGCTGATGAATGTCTTCAGTGCGTACTTGTGATACATTGTGTTCTTTTCTCTACTAGTCATCACCTTAGGCGCAAAGGGTTTATCAATGTAGACAACTCTTTGCTTGGTGCTAATGTCTCCGTCTGAAACACAACAGGACATTTTGAATGCTTTAATCAGCTTAATCAATACCACTCAGCTATATTCCAACTCCAATTTCTGACTGAAACTTTTAAATATATGAGTCTGGACCAGACAATCTAAGGAAGGCTATTGTTACGTGGCAGTATTATTCATTGTGTAACAGTGTTACAAGTATATTACTTTGTTTCTGTTGACATTCAGTATGTGACAGTGGTGTGCTACAGTCAGACTTGTGTTATATGTAGACTGACAGTTCTGGAAATTACTACAAGGTACCAAAACCACATGGGTCTCTTGGACATCGTTTAACCTAGAATACAATGAAATGTTTGAGAACAATTGACTATAGATACAGGGGTCCCCTTTTGCCTCGGTCACTGGAGATCGTAGATTTGACACGGGAACATCACGACCTAACTTTAGAACCTTAAGATGCTATATATGGAATTTCTCCCAGAAATGTCATCAAGTATCACATGCTGTCGTCAGCTAGCGGTCTCTCTAGTTCTGCCATTGATTTTATGATAGTTCAGAAAATGAACACTCTGTCGCCTGACAAAAGAGAAGTTATCGTAGACCTGCATTTCAATTGAATACATGTATATCATCTGCTGGATCTACCAAAGTGCACTGTGCATATGGTTCTTCATCTGTATAACACGAGAGTGAAAGTGTGGAGAATTGACCCTGAACTAGTAAACCATGGATTGTGAGCAACCACATTCAGAGGTTATTAACAAACAGAAATAACTTCTTTGAGTGGCATGTTTAGAAGTTGGTGAATCAGGTAAGGGCAAACTTTATGGATGAGCAACTTCCTTATTTGGATGTGACGATTTGATACAGATTTTTGTATCGTATCATACCTGCTTGGCAACGACACAAAAATCTGTATCAAAATGTTGCATCATCCGAATAAAGAAGTTGTTCATCCATAAAGTTTGTCCTTATCAAACAGAAATACACCATTCCTATGTTAAACCTTACACGGCTCCACAGGAGTCACCTGCATCCCCAGTATGGCTGCAGTCACCTGCATCCCCAGCTTGGCTGCAGTCACCTGCATCCCCAGTATGGCTGCAGTCACCTGCATCCCCAGTATGGCTGCATGTAACAGTCATAGTCCGCTTATATGGTGCTCATATCCAGGCACTTTGCCTGCTCACGGCGCTATGTACATTACTATCCCAGGTCATAGGACACTATTATACTTTACGATACTTTTTCAACTCCTTGGGGATCATACAGCCATGTTGCCTGTTAGGCGCAATGAACTAAACACTCACACTGCCAGCAAATCCTCACGGGGTACCCATCTTACAGTTGGGTGAACTGAGACAATGTGGATCTAAGTATCTTGTCCATGGATATTATGCAAATATGCCCACCTCGGGACACCTGAACCTAGGTGCCTCCACCAGGGTTCGAACCCGGGCCTTCAGCGTGATAGGCAGACACCTTACCACTGTACTTCTGCGCTCCACATGTGAAGCAATGTGGAAGCAAGTACACTTACAGTCATGTTCATACTGCTTGATGACTACAGGGATTTCCCAGTCCCGGTCAAACTTGGGGGCGTGGTTGTCAACAAGACACTTGAGAGATGCGGAACATGTGACGAGCTGACAGCCATGACGTTCTGCCAGAATCTCGGCATTGATGTCTCTGCTGCATACCTGTTGAACACATACACCAGGGTTTTACGGGACATGTGATTCCTGTGTATTGGACACAGAAATTTGATTAAGTACCCCCAAACTAAAATCCTGTGAGTCCTTGTGGATGCAATATAATTTTTTCTGAGTTTGTAATGATATCCCATATTAAAATATAAACATTCTGTTTACAATCATTATTCTAATGATTGCATGCAAATTGATGGACTCCCAATTTTGGAAATGGACTCTCAGAATACATATGCCCTGAGTCCCCAGGACTCCCAGTTTCGGAAGAGCTATGTAAAACACTGCATACACATCACCTGGGAGGTCTGAGTGAGTGAGTGAGTTAAGTTTTACGCTGCACTCAGCAATATTCCAGCTATATGGCGGCGGTCTGTAAATAATCGAATCTGGACCAGACAATCCAGTGATCAACAGCATGAGCATTGATCTGCGCAATTGGGATACGATGACATGTGTCAACCAAGCCAGCAAGCCTGACCACCCGATCCCATTAGTCGCCTCTTACGACAAGCATGGGTTACTGAAGGCTCATTCTAACCTGGATCTTCACGTTGTATGGGTTTGACAAATGATATAGTCAAATACTAAGACTCAAGTGGGAGTATGATGGTGGTTTATTCACTGGACTCTTGAATTACATTTGCTAGCACATGGTTGCCATGTTGTAACGGATGATTTTTATGGAGAAACATGTACAATGTGAATGACCCCCCCTAAAATTTATGTACAAAATAAGTGCCCCCCCTGCATGTCATGTACAAAATCAATGACCCCCCTCCCCTTCCCATAATTTCTAAGCATAATTTTAAACATATTTTTATGTACAAAATTGCTGACCCCCCATTAGTACGTGTGTACAAAATTGATGACCTCCCCTAGCTCCCCAGAACAAAATGGGTGACTCCCCCTTAAAATCATCATCAACACACACACACACACCCCAGCCATAAATTATGAACGGTCCCTTAGGGACCATTAATGTAGCTATCATGTTATGTTATCTCAGTTGCAATTCATTACACACATGTGTTTAACACCTGTAGGTCACACAAACATCAACAGAGAAGAAACTCCATATTTGTTAGCAAAGATGTGTGTAAACAGTGTATTAGTTGTAAATAGTTTTCAAAGTCTATCATCCTAGGAGAGATCACCTCAATTCTATTTCATCACAATGCTATTCAGACAACTGTGACTTCATCTGTTACCATGACATGACAATCAAATGACATCACAAATGCCTCTGGGACAAAACTTGCTTAGCAGCTTTCCATTTGATTGAATCTCAGCCATGTGAGTTTGTAGATATCAAATATGTAATCACTCAAAACACATTTAAAACCCCCTCCACGAGCCCTGGAGCATACACCTTTTATCAACTTATGTTGAAATATTTGATATCAAAAGACACTCAAGACAGATTGTCTATGTGTAAGCAAATCAAGCACTGAAAGCCAAGATGCAGATGCCCTGACATTTATAGTTTGGCATGAAATGCATGTGGACCCGGGTTTTTGTAAATATCTCTTCATCCAATGAGCCAATCGATCTCAAACTGTGCAAGTGGATGTTTTGTCTGACAACCTAATCACATTGTAAATCACCGATGTCATGCATTTGTATTAAAGAATCTGTCTATGTAACTGTCAACAAAATAAACAGCAGAACGCAGACGGCTTGCAGAGGGAGGGAGCCAATACAGTTTGGTGAAACGTAAACCTTTGTGATGACAAATCAAGGATGATATTCCTGACAAAACAGGGATTGAAAGCCACAATCATCTGATCCTGTCACATGTAAGGGACAACTATAGGCCAGACCAACTTTATTTCTTGTTTTACGGATTTTTGTACTCAGAAAACCAAAAGGCAGGAGGAAAAAACATAAAAATAAAAATAAATAAATACTAAAAGCATTTTACTTTTGACAATTTATGAAGTGTACATGGGGCAAACCACAATCTAAAAAAAACTTTTCTTGTAAATTTACAGTTTTGACCTATAAAACATTAGGATTTTATTTTTTGAGTCGGGAAAATGAACTTTTATTTTTTTCCTTATTCTTTAAAAAATACGACCGGCGGATCCGTAAAACAAGAAATAAAATTGGTCCGGCCTATACAGCAAATTTCATGACAACTGTGAGCCTGACACACTGAATGAATGGTATGCATTCCAGGTATAATGTTTCTCTTTTTGACTGTTGGATGTCACATACAGCAATATTCAAGGTGATTGGCTTACATCTGTAAATAAGTTTGGACCAGACAATCCTGAGATTGACATTACACACAATAATCTGCATTGTCTGACCACCACTCAATTTCTTGACAGGATACATTGCTGGGATAACCAGGATCCCAAGCTGGGCTAGAACTTGGGACCATACCTCATGGTTCCATGCCTGGCTGTTCCTGGTCTTTCTGCCAGTACTAGGGAACCGCTTGTTGATCTTGTCATACAGCACTGGCAGTTCAATCTGTGCACGGCTCATGTCAGGCAGGAAGATCTTGGGGAAACTACCCTGAAAACAAATAATGGGACGTCAAAGACAACCATATTTCTGTGGCACCATTTTCTGTGATAGATGCAACAAATGTTTGGGATTCCACTTTCTCAGTAAAGTGAATCCCATATGGGATTTCAACAACACATTCAGATTTTGGCACCTCACTGCCATCACGGCTTTTCGCCGCTTTTTGCAATAGTCCATGAACAATGACCCCCTTCTTACCAGTTCCAGCAGCAGTTTCTGATGCTCCAGTGTGGGGGCATAGTCTGCACTGCTGGGGACAGAGAGTTGTATGGTCTTGTGGGGGACGTAGTACCTGGCATACTGGTCGACACGTCGCCACTGCTGATTCAGCTTCTCCTGAAACAGGGGTGGGTAAATTTGCCATGAGGATGCCATGTTTTGTGTTGTCAGGAGGATGCCATGTTTTGTGTAGTCATGGGGATGCCATGTTAAGTGTTGCCATGAGGATGCCATGTTAAGTGTTGCCATGAGGATGCCATATCTTGTGTTGCAATGAGGATGCCATGTCTTGTGTGGTCCTGAGGATGCCATGTTTTGTGTTGCCATGTAGATGCCATATTTTGTGTTGCCATGACGATGCCATGTTTTGTGATGACATGAGGATGCCATGTTTTGTGTTGCCATGAGGATGCCATGTTTTGTGCTGCCATGAGGATGCCATGTTTTGTGTTGCCATGAGGATGCCATGTTTTGTGTTGCCATGAGGATGCCATGCTTTTGTGTTGTCATGAGGATGCCATGTTTTGTGTTGCCATGAGGATGCCATGTTTTGTGTTGTCATGAGTATGCCATGTTTTGTGTTGCCATGAGGATGCCATGTTTTGTGTTGCCATGAGGATGCCATGTTTTGTGTTGTCATGAGGATGCCATGTTTTGTGTTGCCATGAGGATGCCATGTTTTGTTTTGTGTGCCATGTTTTGTGTTGTCATGGGATGCCATGTTTTGTGTTGCCATGAGGATGCCATGTTTTGTGTTGTCATGAGGATGCCATGTTTTGTGTTGTCATGAGGATGCCATGTTTTGTGTTGTCATGAGGATGCCATGTTTTGTGTTGTCATGAGGATGCCATGTTTTGGGTTGTCATGAGCATGCCATGTTTTGTGTTGCCATGTAGATGCCATCTTTTGTTGTCATGAGTATGCCATGTTTTGTGTTGCCATGCCATGGAGGATTTTGTGTTGTCATGAGGATGCCATGTTTTGTGTTGTCATGAGGACATGTTTTTGTGTTGCCATGAGGGATGCCATGGATGCCATGTTTTGTGTTGTCATGACGATGCCATGTTTTGTGTTGCCATGAGGATGCCATGTTTTGTGTTGTCATGAGGATGCCATGTTTTTGTTGTCATGAGGATGCCATGTTTTGTGTTGTCATGAGGATGCCATGTTTTGAGTTGTCATGAGGATGCCATGTTTTGTGTTGTCATGAGGATGCCATGTTTTGTGTTGTCATGAGGATGCCATGTTTTGTGTTGTCATGAGGATGCCATGTTTTGTGTTGCCATGAGGATGCCATGTTTTGTGTTGCCAGGGATGCCATGTTTTGTGTTGCCATGAGGATGCCATCTTTTGTGTTGTTATGAGGATGCTGTTTTGTGTTGTCATGAGTATGTCATGTTTTGTGTTGTCATGAGCATGACATGTTTTGTGTTGCCATGAGAATGCCATGTTTTATGTGTTGTCATGAGGATGCCATGTTTTCTGTTGTCACGAGCATGCCATGTTTTTTTTCTCATGAGTATGGGTTGTTTTGGGGGGGTCTTTTCATTATAACGGAAAGTTTAGTGTGTCATGCGCATACATGTGTTGTGTGCCATGTTTTGTGTTGTAATGGGTATGTCATGTTTTGTGTTGTAATGGTTATGTCATGTTTTGCAGTGTCATGAAGATGCCACATATGACTGTTGTCGAAGGATGCATTGTGAAAATGCTCCTAATGTGTTGTGTCAATATATGTGAGAATGGTGTGTGAGAATCATGAAAGAATTTTGTGAGATGATTTCATGTGACTTCATGTGACAAAATAACAATTGATGCATGACAATATTGTGTCAGAATATCAGTTGAAAATATATTGCGCAAATATTACGCCAGAATGTTGTGTGAAATCATATTGTGAACCGCCATATAGCTGGAATATTGCTGAGTGCGGCGTCATACTAAACTCACTCATGTGTGAACATCCTGATGTTTCAACTGTCCATGACACAACTCAGGTAATGATTTACACGAAGAAGACCAGAAGTAGCGTCATTTACACAACCACATACAGAACAATACCACAGATATATATATATAACCAGTGAACCTCTATCTACTGAGACAGCATCTGTAACAAGTTATATTTGGGATTACACTTTCTCAGCAAAGTGCAGATTCCAGAACTTTGGTTGGGTTGAGTCCCATCTGTGAACCCAATCCAACACTCTCAGAGTCAGGCACCCAATCACAAGCACACAAAGTCAACCATCTATCCCACTCAGCCACCGCTGCTTCCACACACTGAGCTAGCATCTTGTGACAGACATGATACTTACATCCACATACTTCCTTGCTGCAGGCACTAGGTGGCCATATTCAAAGTATCTGCTGTTGGCCACGAGCTCGGTGTACTTGAGGAAGTCAGCCTGTTCACTGTTTACTCTATGCTGGAGAGCCTAGAAACCAAGAAGGGCTATGTCACTGGATTGTCTGGTCCAGACTCGATTATTTACAGACCACTGCCACATAGCTGGAGTATTGCTGAGTGCGGCGTAAAACTAAACTCACTCATTACTTCTATACTATATGACAGCAGTCTGACAGTAACGGCCAGCTACACAAGTAGCTGGCATAATGAGTAGGGATGCCACGATACAACAAAACATCGATGCATCGATACATTTTCAAAGACGATACAATTATTGATACATTCAAAACTGTATAGATATTTAGTTTTGAAAGTATCGGTTTAAATATGTTTATGTATTCTATGATGTTTTTTGATGTTATGAGAGTTAAAAATTATTATTTTACATGCACAAAGATGGGAAATTAGAACTTTTTAATCTCTGAGAATAAAAAATGTTGATATTTTCATGGACAATTATAAAATATGAAATAATAATACTCAAAATGTAACTACATTTATGTAATAATGCCACGAAAATAGGAATCATGATACGAATTGAATCGTGACCTGGTTAGCGTGATACGTGTCGATTCATGAAACTAATGTATTGTGACATCCCTAATAATGAGCGACATATTCTCTCCTTGGAAGTATTCAACATCTGAGGTACTGAGGTCCTGTTGAATAATTAGAATCTAAGCTCCACTATCTACAACTTTTAACACGAGGGCTATGAGAAGGTCCCCTTGAATTCCTGCTTTATTTTAAACACTGCCTTGGATACACTGATAGACAAGATATCCAAACAGGCTGGTCATAAGTGGTTTGTCTATTTATTGTTTAACACTGCTCACAGTAATAGGACTGGCTATTGACAAAGATCATAGAGTTGATCATTGTTAACTGAATATCAGTTGAATTTGATAAATACTGGAGAAGTAACTTTGAACAAAAACTTTATAAAAATGTTTGAAAGAAATTAGCATATTTCATGTCACCATTGAGGGATGACACATTTATCTATGCATTTTTCAACAAAAGCAGTGTTTTGAACAAACTACTGAAGTGGTGTTGCTGAAAACAATTCAAACCCGGATCTTCACGGGTATGTTGTTTCCAGGGGCATACTTTGTGTTGGAATGGTGTCCTACAGAAGAGACTTTGTACCTCAAACTCTGTGAGTTCCTTGATCTCTGCCTGAGTGGGTTGTTGTGGTCGGTACGACACCAGGTACTTCTGGAACAGCTCCAGGTAACGTCGCTGCTCCTTACAACTCAGTGAGGATTTGCGAGCTTTGGGATTCTTTGTCGTTTGTCTGATGAAATAAATTGGCCATGAATAATACTGAGATTAAGTGAGTAAGTTGGGTAAAATGGTTAAATATTGGACAGTATATCAATTTTGCTACAATAGGTAAACTAAACGTGGTAGAAAAGCCTAAAATAATCCAGGTCTCAGACATTTACCATCCAAAAGCATTATGTACCACGAAACACCCAACTCGAGTAACATAACTTTTGCTGAGTGAATTCACAAGGTAATTTCTAACATTGGTCTCATAAAACATATCAATAATGGTTGACAAAGATTTACCGGTACGTAGACCAAATCAGAGAAGTATAAATCCGGAGAGACGCAAGCAGGGATGTCCTAGGACATATGCAAATGACATAATTTATTTTGTTGAGCGGCATTTTAGAAGCTGGGAAGTACACCATCGAACAAACTTTATGGATAACAACTTCTTTTATTTCGTGAGGGCATTCCTGCTTTACAACGGTACAAGAATCTACATCGAAACATCGCACTCACGAAATAAGTTATTATCCATAAAGTTGGTTAAAAAAATAACATAATTTGTTATTCCTCAAATGCCTGCTATGGGCCCTTCATTAGGAATATTGCTGTTGATCCCTGAATTGTTTGGTCCAGACCTGATTATTTACAGACCGCCACCATATAACTGGAATATTGCTGAGTGCGGCGTAAAACTAAACTCACTCACACACATTCATTAGGTATCCTAGATGAATCCCTGTGTTTTGCCCCTGCACAATAATTATATTTTCATATGTTACCCTGGTTGACTGATTGCATCCTTCTTCAAAGCAGGTGCTTGTTTTTTCTTAGCCTCATCCCCAGGGTCCTTCCTGTTTGGCCCCTGTGTTGGTGTCGCATCAGTGTTGGATGCATGTGCCTGGTATTGTGAGGTACCTGGAAGGGATTGCACATCACCCCGAATTTCATTAAACTTGATTGCTAGTCTTTCTTGAAGGGATACACTTCCTAATACTCGGGTAAAGCTTTCCTCAGAGAAAAATGCAGTTGTGCCATTTATGGGTTCCTTCCTGAAAAACAAACATTCATGCAAAGTCTACATTACACTCATAAATACAGACCAAGTCAAGATCATTGTCTACATTACACTGATAACTACAGACCAAGTCAAGATCATTGTCTACATCACACTGATAAATACAGACCAAGTCAAGATCATTGTCTACATTACACTGATAACTACAGACCAAGTCAAGATCATTGTCTACATTACACTGATAAATACAGACCAAGATAAATACAGATCCAAGTCAAGATCATTGTCTACATTACACTGATAAATACAGACCAAGTCAACATCATTGTCTACATTACACTGATAAATACAGACCAAGTCAAGATCATTGTCTACATTACACTCATAAATACAGACAAAGTCAAGATCATTGTCTACATTACACTGATAAATACAGACCAAGTCAAGATCATTGTCTACATTACACTGATAAATACAGACCAAGTCAAGATCATTGTCTACATTACACTGATAAATACAGACCAAGTCAACATCATTGTCTACATTACACTCATAAATACAGACAAAGTCAAGATCATTGTCTACATTACACTCATAAATACAGACCAAGTCAAGATCATTGTCTACATTACACTGATAAATACAGACCAAGTCAAGATCATTGTCTACATTACACTGATAAATACAGACCAAGTCAAGATCATTGTCTACATTACACTGATAAATACAGACCAAGTCAAGATCATTGTCTACATTACACTGATAAATACAGACAAAGTCAAGATCATTGTCTACATTACACTGATAACTACAGACCAAGTCAAGATCATTGTCTACATTACACTCATAAATACAGACCAAGTCAAGATCATTGTCTACATTACACTGATAAATACAGACCAAGTCAAGATCATTGTCTACATTACACTGATACAGACCAACAAGACTACATTAAGTCAAGATCATTGTCTACATTACACTGATAAATACAGACCAAGTCAAGATCATTGTCTACATTACACTGATAAATACAGACCAAGTCAAGATCATTGTCTACATTACACTGATAAATACAGACCAAGTCAAGATCATTGTCTACATTACACTGATAAATACAGACCAATACAGACCAAGTCAAGATCATTGTCTACATTACACTCATAAATACAGACCAAGTCAAGATCATTGTCTACATTACACAGATAAATACAGACCAAGTCAAGATCATTGTCTACATTACACTGATAAATACAGACCAAGTCAAGATCATTGTCTACATTACATTACAGACTCAAGATAAATACAGACCAAGTCAAGATCATTGTCTACATTACACTGATAAATACAGACCAAGTCAAGATCATTGTCTACATTACACATAAATACAGACCAAGTCAAGATCATTGTCTACATTACACTGATAAATACAGACCAAGTCAAGATCATTGTCTACATTACAGTGATAAATACAGACCAAGTCAAGATCATTGTCTACATTACACTGATATATACAGACCAAGTCAAGATCATTGAGGGCATTTATTGAGGATCATCATTATGTATATGAGCCTGTGTGTCAAAATGATTTTAAAATAAGTGTCAAACTTCTTGCATTTCATGAGTGAGAGTGGGTTCTTTGATAAGCATTTTAGAAGTTGAGTTGATGAATATAAAAAGTTGTCATTTACTTGACAATGACAGCTTGTCGAAAGGTCACCCTTCACAGAATAAAGGAAGTTGTATATCCATAAAAATTGTCATCATTCTTCAGTGAGAGTGGGGGCAATAACATGAATTGTTTCTAATGTGATGTCATTCCCATCTTTCATCATAACAACATTCAAATGACATCAACAATGCCATGACAGAATCAATACGCTGGTATAAGGGTAATGCTATTTTTGAGGGCATTATCATTTGCAGAAGCCCGAGGTCTTCCATTAACTGCCCGACGAAGGAGGGCAGTTGATAAAGACCAAGGGCTTCTGCAAATGATAATGCCCTCAAAAATACGCTGGTATTGCTAAAATACATGGAATTTGTGTTGAAAAGAAAAAGGAAACAATGAAGGAATTTGACTGTAAGTTTACCCAAAACCAACTTCTTACGGGCTTGACTGCCCGAATGCACATCGAACAATTCAAGTGGCGCCACAACAGAAAATGACGATATTCGACCTTGGCCTTTGACAAGACCATAGGCAACATGACAAGCTATGACAGTGTTCCGGTTTTGGTCCATCAACAGTTTTAATAGTGCAATTGTTAAGGTTAGCACCAACAAGAAAGCTCATATTACCGCTATTTAAAGCGGGAATTTGGAGTTGCTTTGACTTGTTTGACCCAGAATATCTGCCAGTCGAAAGCCACTAATGTCGAACTATCACTTGACAACAGAACTGATAGTGGCCCGTCGTTAAGGTTGTCCAATATCAGTGACCACAAATTTCTGATAACAGGAGGGCCGCATGATAATTCCATGTATTTTAGCTATAATTATAATGATGCTTGCATGACTAATTGTATTGCAATATATCATTCAGGTTCCCTATTGCGGTACATATATTGGGAACTTCAGTGTTTGACAGTGAGTGAATTGTGCATGTCAATCCTATTTTCTACGTTATAAGTCCCTAAACATATATCAGGGCTCCAGATAACTATTGGGGGTGTGAGTGTACTTACACATCATATTGCAATAGGAGGTGTACTGAGAATTTTGGAGGAGTGCTGACATGTTTTTGTGTGAGCGAGTTGGTGATGTGGTTTGTCTGGACGATTCATCGATCACTATTTCCAACCATGTATTTGTATTTGAAGACGCGTGAGAAATAACTGAGCGACTGTGTGATGCACGAAATGTCAGGTCCGACTGGATATAAATAGGAACAGTGTAGTTTTTAGCCAATCGAAAAATAGTGACGCATATCGTTGCATGGCAACGCAAGTGATTCCTACTGTCAGGGTTTCCTCATGTGTCAAATCGTGTTTCACAAAAGAAACTTGACAAGTATTTATCCGAAATAGATTTTCATTTGCACGGAAATTAAATGTTAGACGTACATAGGTATTTATGTGCATACACGATACGCTTGAAATCTTATATTATGTCGTACTTAATTGATTTTGAGGCGTACATTACGCCTGTACGCCCCTTATCTGTAGCCCTGATATATGTTATGAGTCTGATAACAGCAATCTCAAAACTAGGTTGCATAGTCAGGGATTCTATTTTCTTTTTTATACAATTTATAGCATTACAGTATGCCGTTTTGTCAAAGGAAAACATCAGTTGTGTATGAAAGTCTGTGTAGATTCTAATTTAAACCATAAAGATAATCACAAAAAAATCATCTATATTCTTTTCCCAATATACCGGTTCTCAGTTAAAATATTGCTGACTGACTGACTGAGTTTTGGTTTTGCGCCGCTTTAAGCAATATTCCAGCAACATCACGGCGGGGGACACCAGAAATGGGCTTCACACATTGTACCCATGTGGGGATTCGAACCCGGGTCTTCGGCATGACGAGCCAACGCTTTAACCACTAGGCTACCCCACCGCCCCTAAAATATTGCAATATGTATCGTTTAAAATGCTTACTGCAATCTACCGGTACACCGGTAATACAGTGCAGTCCTAATTGTGACACTATTTCAATTTTCATGCCACTCTTATAATATCGGTAAGGTGACGAGTGCCTGAGTTAGGTATTAAGTCATTTGACATTTTGTTGCTGTTATAAGAGAGGCTGTCACTTAGAGGTGGGAGGAAAGCCTGAAGTGCTGAATGACTCTGGGCCTAGATTTTCGAAGCTCTCTTAGCGCTAAGATAGTCGTTAGTGCCATACATTAACATTAATTTACGACTATCTTAGCTTAGTGCAAGAGAGCTTCAAAAATCTAAGCCCAGATATTTAGGTTAAACCCACAAAAATAGCGGACAAACATAGAACCATTATCAGGGTAGATCTGGGATTTAAACTGGAGACTGTGACAGTCAAACATTCTAAACAATTACAGGGAAACATAACTGGCTAAGCAACTGGTTCAAACAGCTGTGGGATTTGACAGCATTATTACATGTGTGAGGAAATGCACAAGATACAGGTGTACACAAATCTAGAGTTGCTTTGTTAGATGTTTTTTGGTGGTTCTCACAGTTCTTTATGTGCCAAATATGAAGTTCGAGATAAATGAACAGACTTCGACAGAAAGCTGGGAAAGAGACCAGAGTTGGAGATGGTGTAATATGTATTTATATTGTGAGTTAGTCGGGACCAGAGAATAGATTCAAGGTGTAAGTACATTTGAGATATCGGAAAGACTTCCACCCATGTCATTCATTCATTTCATTCCAGTTAAATCATATCACCTGAATATATATATATTCCTCATCTGATAAGGATGAGTTTTAACATGTTTCTTTAACTGTATCTGAACATACTGAAAGACATATCCAACTTCTGAAAATGCCACTCAAAGAAATTTTTCCTCATGGTTAAAATTTAAGGGTGATACTGGCGGAAATCTTACCAATTGTTTGTAAATAAAACAATGAAACAGATGCAATACAAATTTGTAATTGCACTAAACACATGTGTTCACACAAAGATTCAGCCATTTGCTGACTGTAAAAAATGTCACTTAAACCCAAATCTGTGCCAAAAAGATTTGTGAATTGCTTTAATTGTCCAAGCCCTAAACAAGCTTTGTGTTTTCCTAAGAGATTAGTTAATTGTTTGTAAGCACAGAAGCAGGCACACTGACAATGCCTAATTACATCACATTGGAGGTACCCATGGCAACATTATTCAATCCCGAGCTTACCTCAAATTGGTGTACATTGTAAATCTCCTGTTTGGAATCAGAGGGTTTACTCTCAGAAGACCTGTCTGTTGGTAACTGGTCCCCAGAAACAAACTGAACTATTGGATTTCCTGAGGGCTGGGAAGGAATGTATCCACACACAACTAAACATGAGGTATGCAGTAAAACAATGTTAAATATTAATGGGGACATAAAGGTTTGCTGCTATAGCATATATCAGATATATCAATCCATGAACCTCAAGATCTGAAAAGCAGCTTGTAAAGATCTTTCACTTGAATCTTCATGTTAAAATATCACAATAGACTGTAATGCTTAGGCAATGTTAGATGTGTTTGTTAAATGATTTCATTAACATATTTCTAATTTTATACAAGATTATAGAATGTAGTTTATCAAGCAAGATGTCAATGCCCATTACTGGTACAAGATATCAGTGAAGGGGAGTGAGCCAGTAAGATGAGAACATCTTTGTTATGAAACACTCAACCATATATCCTCAATAACAGTATCTGGACTAGATAAATCATGCACAACATCACAGAATGCGCCATGGTGTTAGAACATGATGATCAAATGATATTTATTCACATCTTGCTGGGGTTCAATTTTCTAACTTGGAATTTATTGTGAGAGCAAGTGCAGGTTGAGTAAATTTTGCAGCTTGAAACTTTCACATAAACCTATCGTATTGTTGGAGCAATAGACTGACTGACTGACTGACTGAGTTTGGTTTTACGCCGCTTTTAGCAATATTCCAGCAACATCACGGCGGGGGACACCAGAAATTGGCTGGAGCAATAGAAGCCAGTGGGCTCTGGTATGGGATAACCCACACCCACACCCACACACACACACACACACACACACACACACACACCTTTGTTTGTTTACAAGTGCAAGTGTTGGACATGTCACATGGGCTGCATCAGCTTCCAATCATGACGAATGTGGTATGAATTCACCCTAAGAATGATACTTGACCTGTCAGCACTGTACCAGTGCTCCTGGATTTTATTTGACATTTATAAGCAGTCTCAGCTCGGACTGACTTGCCTCCACAAGCTGACCTGTCGAGATACAACAGGTGAAAAACCAATACTGATTCGTTGAAGCAACGTTTACAACTACTCGCGTCACTCGTACATTACAAACATTTGTGGTGTGAATGAAGGTTTGAGAATTTCTGGACACAGCGATTTACCAGTAACGGTCCATGTCAATACAGCAATTGGAGACTTTTCATGCTGGAATAATTCATAGAGCAGTCCTTCGTGGTCTAATAAATCGATTCAGCTCAAACTTGTGACAGCAGACGCTTTCCCAACGTGCTTGAAGCGTGTTTACATTTCTGAAAATACAACTTTCTGGATCGGAAACATGATTTACCAAAAGATTGGAGAGTGGTGAAGATTTGATGAAAATTCATATTCTGTTATTATTTTTCTGATATCCTAACTGTTTCTTGGACATATCACATTGACCAAAAGTGAATTAATTCTAAACGATATCTGTTGGGTGTCATCTTTCATCGGTTCTTTTCCATGTCGAGTTCTTGTTTTGTACCTTTGACCGGAAGTGCGTTTTATCCCATAATGCACTGTACTTTTGCAGCAGCGCCATTTGTACCACAGCGTGTTCTGTAGCGTGGTTGTACGAGTTATAACAAAAATGAGTGACAAAGAGGTTTGTTGAATGCGTTTTCTGATTTCATTTTACGAACGTGAATTTACTTTCGAAGGGATGTACAACGTCCATTATTACGATTTTTAGAATCGTATGCATGTCGATTGTACTGCGTCGAACTCCGTCGCGAATTATGCCTGAAAAAAATGGAGAAACGACCAGCCTCGTTTCGAAAATAAAGGCTCAGAATTCTTGTTTCTTGAATATTTGGATAGTGTACTACAGTTTCTGTTTAAATAACACTTAATCTATCTCATGAAAATTTAGGGAGTTGGGGGACTTGTTTTGATGCCCCACAACTCTGTGCAATGGGCGTTCGTGTAGGCCTGATTTGAAACGAAAGTAAGACGTTTGTCTTGCGATCATCTTTTAGCGTATTTTAGCATGGCTGTCCCACCCGGGTAGATACTCGATCAACAAGAGGACCACTGAGGCGGTCACATCCGTAACGCATGAAAAATGATATTCATAGGCCGCTCATTTGTTTCCCAACCTGTTGCAGTTTTCGGGGCACATTTTACTGTAGCGACCAACCCCAACCAAAACAGACTCGATCATCATCCCATTTCTGATCAGACAACCCTCAACAATCCTTAGGGTTTAAGCCTAGGGCCCAGGGTTAGCTGTTCGTTAGTATTTTGGTCAGCCACTTCCTTTAACGGATAAATCAAATCATTTTTTGACTGTTTTGAGTTTTCTGAGAAAATGGCTTATATGCGGTATGGTCAACAATCAGGGACTGGTGACTGCACATGGTCCTGTGAGGTGTTGGCTAATCAGATTAACACATAAGCCAAGCTCAACTTCAAGCTGGCAATGCAAGTTCGATCCTCCATTAAATCCAAAATTTGCAAGTGGTAAATGTCACTTCTCCAATTGTTTATTATTGAGATATCATACTGAACTTTAACCAAACAGTTTTTCATGCCTTTGAGTGTGAAACACTGCAAGTGATTTCGTTGTAAACATGGTAAAACCCAGGGTGTTGCTGAACATGCATATTCATCTTAAAGAATTGTACTTCTGAGAATGCATCTTAGAATATCATAGGTCCTGCAAAAATTGTGGACGCAGAGAAAATGGAAAAGATAGTTGGCAACTTGTGTAATTAATAAATATTTGATCTTGCTCTCAAACACTAGCACACAGTTTCTAACAAGCCAAAACATTATAGGATAGTGTATTCCATCGGTTATTCTGTGAGTGATTTCTTTGAAATGTTTGGCTGACTTTGTAGTTTGACTTCATATTTTGTTTGATTAGCTGGTCAATACTTCAGAAAGAGTGTGAAAGTATTGATTTTCAACCAACATCTGTGCACTAGGACAGGCTTTGTTAGGAATGAATCATTATTTCAAACGTTTCATTCATGTATTTTTCATTTCCTACCTCATGATAGATCTATATTTTAAGATGAATTGTCTGAAAAGTCAAGGAGCTGACTGTACTTACCAGTGATGTTTGTGGTAAGGCCGACCACCCCCCAGAATGCACCTGCAACCATGTTCACATCCTGTGATTCAACTGATGCAAATCAATATGAAACCAATTTGATTCCCATATGTTGCTGCATAGGGTTATGGATGATAACACGCTGAATGAATGATGACATAGGTAACCATAAAATGTACTATTGACAGGAAATATGAAAAACAATTTGAATTCAAGCTTGATATCTTCCCATCTGCAACCATATCGAAAGTTTTAATTTATATCCTGTGTTTCTTGTATTGGTCATGTGAATTGTGATCAGATTGGGTGCAAGTATACAGAACCTTTTCTTAGTTATATTTCAATTCACATCAATTTCAGGAAGGGTCTCTACCTGACTCCGATGGTTCTCCAGTGCATGGGTCACCAAAGTCACGATCAAGGTCTCCTTCACCAGTCACTAGGTCCAGGTCTCGTTCCCTGTCAGCATCCCGTTCAAGGTCAAGAAGTCCCAGGAGGCGTCACAAGAGATCCAGGTTTGCAACACAAAGACATGTACTGCAGTGATTCAGATCGGTTCATTATTCTAGAACATGACTGAACGTCATCCAATTATCCTAACTAAATTTTTAGAATTTGGTAATGTGAAATATTGTCTGTCAATTCATGTGTGTTGTATGGTTTCAGATCCCGCAGTCGAGGACATCGGTATTCCCGCTCGAGATCACGAAGTCCATACCAAAGGCGACGTCACAGAGATAGGTGTGTTGGATTGTCACATTAATGCACGATTCAATTTTATGATATCACGTGAGCCCTTATGATGGAGTGGCAATTCAGTCTGATACAATATTGTGATTTTGTGTTTCAGCCACGGAGAACGTTCAAGTGGACGAAGGTAAGTTTTGAGAAATTATTTGCATTTTAACATTGGTTTGAGTCATGAACCATGACCAGTGTGATTGGAATGTTTGCAGTAAACCAGTTACCGTTCACCCATATTTGTTTAATACCACCAGTGATACCACACGGGACAGAGGGCAGACAAAATCAAATTTCAAGAGCTGAAAAATAACAGTGAAAATGTCACTTGTTCACTTTTGTACCATGTCGTCAAATTTTGCTCGTTCATTTTATTGGCATATTGATGACAAGCTGGGGAGATATTCAAAGTTAACTGTCATTCTTGGGTTTTTGGCCCTTTGTGAAAACATCCTTGTCAATTTCAGACGTCACCGCAGTCACAGTCGTTCACCCATGTCATCACGTAGAAGACACCAAGGGAATAGAGTGAGTATGCCATTATATTGCAACATTTGTCAACCCCTGTTCTTGTTCCAGGTCTGGTTTGGATGAATTCCAGACCAAGACTTGTATAGTTAGAAAGCATGAAACATTTCAAGAGTTACAACATATGTTTTGCATCAAGATAAGCAGTGTGATGTTAATAGTGACATGGTGTAGAACAAAAACTTTCAATATCTGCTTAGTTTTTTCTCAGTGGTACCAATTTCATGTGTTGTGAAGTTGTTCTGCTACATGATTTCATATTTGAAGTGTTACAGGGTGAAACCCATTGCTGGGAATGCACAACATTACTGAATGTCATTTTCATTGTAGAGCAACGGTATCTGTAGATAATAACTGTATCTGTAGATAATTTTACATTTGACTGAGAATTGGTTAAATCTGAAGGTAACACATCAGCTACGAGTGATGTAAAAGCACTGTCTCCCTTCACTCCATTTCAGGATGACCCCGAACCAACAAGGTGTCTGGGTGTATTTGGTCTGAGTCTGCACACCCAGGAGCGAGACTTGAGGGAGGTGTTTGATAGATACGGGAGTGTTGAAGAGGTTCAAGTTGTCTATGACAGACAGGTGAGATCATTCTTTTAATACCAACACAGATGAAAATATTTCGTTGGATTAGTATTGGTCAGGGACTTTCAGTAATATTGCAATGCTTTGATCTCACTTATTTTTACCTAAAGACCTGCCTGTTACTTCACACAAGTAATATGTTTATGAGTTTGACACCATAGATGCATGTAGGATGTGACTGATTATTGACGTTGTTGGACTGAGGCTCATGCACTGGTGCGATCTCTGGTTCTCTCAAAGATTGACTACTGTAATAGCATCTTCTATGGACTTTCCGAAAAACTCCAGAAAGTACAAAACTCTGCAGCTCGACTTGTCAACAAAGTTCCCTCTAGGATCCACATAACACCTGTTCTTAAGGCTCTTCACTGGCTACCAATCAGAGCCAGAATTGAATTCAATGTCCTGAGTCTTGCATACCGGTGTTACCATCTTACGGCTCCAGAGTACCTTGTTGAGCTAGTCTCCAAGCACAATCCTTCCAGAATGTTAAGATCGGCAGATAGACACCTTCTCACTATTCCCAGACAGAAACTCTGGGCATTCGGGTTTCGCTCCTTCAGCTATGGTGCTCCACAGTTGTGGAATCAACTCCCCACTGAACTCAAAATGTCTCCCTCCATTGACTCATTTAAAAGTTCCCTGAAAACCCATCTTTTCAGAAAATATTACAATCTATAACTTAACTTTTCAAAAAAAAATTCAGCCACGTTCTAGCATAACCTTTGCTTTGTAAATATTTGTAAATATGTAGTGCTTTGAGCATGCCTTATGTGTGGAATTCAGCGCATTATAAATACACATATTATTATTATTATTATTACTACAATTTCATCCGAACACAGTTTCTTTTACATATATGAGAACATTGATAATGTTGAAACATTTGAAATGGGTCACTATTCCTCAGTCTTAAACATGAGTGTTTGTTTTCATATTTTGTGGATTAATTAGATTCTTTTAAACCTTGCAGAAACAGCTGACAGTGTTTGATCTGATCTGATGTTCCTTTCATGTTTCAGAGTGGCAGATCTCGTGGCTTCTCCTTTGTGTACTTCAAGAGTGTTAATGATGCTATTGAGGTAATGATCTTATGGAAGGTTTTTTCAACATGTTTGTTTCCCATTCAAAATAAGATGTTAATGTTGTGTTTTGTGGCTCAAAAACAGAGACTTTGGCTGTAGCTTTCAACTTGTTAAAATAGTTCTTGAATGATAGCAAGCATATTTTCTTCACACGCTTGTTTATGGTTCTCCATGTTTAAGATAAATAAATATTTACCTGAAGTCATGCTTGAAATGAACATAAGCAGCTTTCATCCTTGTCCATAAGTGATAACGACATTCAACCACCAAAGCCTGCTTTCAGTGGAAGAAAAGGCATTTTTGTAAGTCTTGTTTTCTTTCATTTACATTATTTTGCAGTCACTTCACTAACAATAAGCTCTTTGTATTGATTATACAGAAATTGAATATGTGTACAAATATGTTTTCAATCACGTGACTTGGACGGACCTATCACCATTTGCTCCCTCATACTGTTGTAGGCGAAGGACAGGTGCACAGGAATGGAAATAGATGGACGCCGTATCCGTGTGGATTATTCTATAACTGAGCGTGCCCACACCCCAACTCCAGGCATCTACTTAGGCAAGCCCACAACCCGAGGGGAAAGAGAACGAGAAAGAGGTGCTGGCGGCGGAGGAGGAGGAGGAGGAGAGAGATACGAGCGCAATGACAGATATGACAGGTTAGTCATCTCTATTTGTTCTTTGGAAGTAGAAGAGATGTTGTAACATTGTGGTATGCTGATATCGTAAGTGCAGGAACATGGTGAATTGTGTTTCTCTGCTGTGACTAATTATTTACTTATGATTAAGGCATCAAGAAGATATTCTTTAAGAAAACTCTTCATATCATTCTGGTTGTGAGGTGTAGCTTGATGGTTAGTTTTCATCTGGAGGCCCCGGCATTGAATCCCCACAGTGGACTAGTGTGTAATGCTGTTTCTTGTCCCCTCAGATATTGCAGAGATAAAGGCAGCAGGGGAAAAAAACTTTCTCAAACATCATAGTGTTAATCACAAGAAAATATATTGGGTTTCTTCATGTGAGAGTTATAGTTGAGATATGTTGATGAAATTAATCAAGTTTGATTGCTTTTGTTTGTACTGTGTTTTGTCATTGCCAGCAAATCAAAGTGTTTTAGGGGCGGTGCAGTAGCCTAGTGGTTAAAATCAAGACCCGGTTGATTCCCCACATGGGCACAATGTGTTAAGTCCACTTGATATTGCTGGAATATTGCTAAAAGTGGCGTAAATCTAAAAAGTCAGTCAGTCAGTCAAAGTGTTTTATATTTTACTTGATATGTATTTGTGGTTTAAATCCAATCTTCTTATGCCTGACTCTGTCAATAACATGTTGATAATGTATTTTAATCAGAAACACTGGGCACATTGCTTCAGATGACTGAATATTTTTCTCATTATTAAAAATACATTTTTTCCAAAATAGAAATGGACAAAACAGTCATGGAAGCAGTTCTTATGGATACAACAAGTTAGTACACAATGAAAGCATCATGAATAGAGATTACCTCCTTTGTTACGTCAAATTTGTGAATTTCAGCTGTACGTTGTGACTGAAAATGAAACATGGACTTGATCAGTACAAAGTAATACCTAACTGACTTCAAAACAAATGAAACAAATTTAGCCTAAACATACAGCTGTGCCCGAGAAACAAAAAATTTAATGGATGACTTAAATTTTCAGCTCATGCATGCACGGTTTAGAAGCTATTTTGGATATGTAATAAATTTTACTAGCTGATGTACAAGTCCGATCATGTGTGTCGTATATGGTTTGTCTACTGCTTTATTATGTTCAGTCACTTTTTGAAATCATTTTCAATATATTTATAAATAATCAAATTTAATTTTAACTAATGGTAAATGAATGTTTTTCTTTGCAGGCACTACTCTGATGATAGATACAAGTAAGTCTATATTGACATCCAGTTAGCTCAGATAGTGAGATCTGGCATTGGTGGCCCAGTCGATGGTGCTACTATTTGCTCTGCAGAGTTGTATCCCTTTGGCATGCCAGACACCTGTGATTGTACATTTCCCCCTGAACGTTCATACTCATGGGCTTCTGCAAAGGGTAAATGACAGACCTTCAACACTCCTGGCTTTCCTCCCAGATGAAGCTGACAAGCCATTGGAACTCTGTTCTAAGCAGTGAAAATAGAAGTTGAGACTTGATGGACTTAGTTTAGACTTGATTTCATACTCTTCATTTCATGAACTTGGTGCAATCATCGGTGGGCAGCAGTTTCATGAGCCTTTGACTTCGGTCCTGGTACCGTTGGTGTCTGGTTGTGTACATTAATTATACTGTTGCGGTTTTGGTAGGATGTATTGATACCCTTGGATTCTCTTTTGGCATTAATGTCAGTTTTTCCATTAATCAGCAATCCTTGAACATTTCTAAGATTTAATGGATCTTTGTTACAAAACGGCCCAAATGCCACATGCTTGTGTATACACATAACTACAGGTTGATGTTTAATACCATGAGACAAAATTGCTACTGGAATGGGTTTTTCTCATTTTTCTTTTAGATTGTTCTAAATAGAATGTGTTGTCAATTTATTGTTTTGAAGTTGGTGTTCTGGACATTTAGTGAGAACTTGCAGACTTTTGTGTGTTGATTTATTTTTGTATCAACAGTAAATTTTCTTTTCTCTTTTCAGTCGCTACCGATCACCTTCACCCTATCGACGGAGATCGCCTTCTCCTTACTACGGCCGCCGCCGATCACGGAGCAGGTCTAGATCCAGATCTTACTCCCCTCCACGTAAGTTGATATCTGTTTATTAATTATCTTTAGAATAAAAGCTGGATTTGTAATGTGATCTGTCATTTACAACAGCCTAAGAATAAATAGCCCGAATACAATTCATGTCCAAAATTCATAACCATTTTGAATGGCTTTTTGAAAGAAACCTGGTCTAAAACTAGTACATGGTGTTAGTTTGCTGTATAATCTGGCAGGTTGGACTTAATGTTTATGCTACTTTAACAAGTACAAATAAATCCCACTTTCAAGGTTCACCAGCTTCTTTCAGTAGTAAGGTTAATTTTCCCTGCAGCTGTTAATAATTCCAAATATTGTCCAGCTTTTTGGGCATAAGTTTCCTTCCAACTGTCATTATGTTTATGCATCTACTGCACATAGTTATTATGTTGATATGTTTTGATTATCGCACTGTCAACATGTTTCTTTTCCCTCTCTTCCCCGTTCTAGGTCGCTATTAAGGAAAGCCGATCATCTGTACCATGTGACCAAAACATTTCATTTATCATGTTCCTGTTCCACTTTTAGACAATATGTGTTGTTTCTGAGTTAGGGATTGTAGGAATGGGATTGTGTATCTTGTATAACAGACATGCAGTTTAGTGTTTTTGCTATGTATGTGTGCGATATTAGTGGTAGACCAGTAACAAAGATCTTTAGTGATTTCTGCAATTTCGGGGGGAAAGTAAAATGCTCATCTCATTTTTCAGTTAGAATAATATGAGATTTTTAATTGATATGTCTGTGGATGAAATTCTTTTGACATCTCCATTGATAACTGTAATAGAACTGAAGATATTGCTCACCCAGACCAAGAATTTAAAAGCTTCTACACTAATTGTGGCTATCTGAGGGAACCTATGGAGGTGTCCGCAGATTTTCCCGCAAAGGGTTATCGTATAAGATCTTTTCATGAATGGTCACAAAAGACGATAAGTGTCATTGATATATATATACTTCTGAAAGAAGATAAGAACGCCCCTATATTTTTCCCTTGACTACAGTGAATCTGACGCTAATTCCCAGCAGAAATACTCGATGTATCTTACTGAGTCTATCATTGAATATGTGGGTCCTTCATAACTTCACATTGTTCTGGGCGTCCAGCCAAAGGAAGGGAATCCTTTAGTCTTGCACACTGTTATGTATCACTGTTGAAATAGGCTACTTTTTAATCCACTTCAGGAAAAATTGGATTGTTTCGTTTTATGTAATCTTGCACATTGTTTGGACACTGATGATTTTCACAATGTGAGCTGTTATATTGTAATCCACGTATTGTATACGAAAATATCTAGTGTCCTGCCAGATCTGATTTCAAAATCAAGTTAATATTTGTTCAGTTGCATTTATCGTAATTCATGTGTCTATGTCCCAAACAATGTGTACGGTCCACATTCTTAATGTTCCATCTTGACTATTTCCATGTCCAAACTAACGTTGTCCCTTGTAAAGTGTTCATTAATGACAATTTTGATGGTGTTTATCTTTCTGATATACCACAGTGAGATGAGAATGTTTCCGTGTGTTTTGAAGACAATCACATGTGATCAGTCGAACCGAGTTTCAGTTACTATTGTTAGGCCAATCCCAGCTGTTTTATCTTTACAGTTCAGATAACCATGATCAGTATTTCAACTGTGACAAAATTGATGGCAAATATACTACCTGGAAGAAGTTAATGATCACCAGCTTTTTCATATGATTATGGTGAACCTTGCATAACAGACCAACTATAGCCATATGAAAAAGAACAGGTGAATAATTTGTTTTGGGTGGAATATTTGTTTTCATATAACATGTTCCAAAATAACTTAATTCAATGTGCATGGACATTTTCCTGAAATATGTCAAATAAATGTCAACAAGGACATGTCGTGGCCTGTCAAACAGCAGATATTCGACCCCAAGGCTGGAGCTATGTCAGTAAATCATCATTGTCAGATTTATTGTCCTTCTCAGTTCGATCTGTCAGTCATGTGTTGAAACCCTGATCACATCTTACCGGAGTTATCTGAGCTTATATTTTATCATTCAGTTTTTATGTAAGATAGTCAAAGACTTATGGAGATACGTCATTGCCAATGTTTGTACTTTGAAACAGGATATCAATTCTGTGAACTGATGTTTCTTTGTTTGTTTTATGCCAACATAGATAACTTCTCATGTGCTAAGGTAATCACACACTCTGACTTTCCATTTTGTTTTGATTGGATCAAATTGTATTCTATATTTGTAAATAAACTGCAATGCTTCAATTGTCAGAGACCATGTTTTAATTCTGTTTCTTTATATTACTGAAGGTTTTGAAGAAAGAAACATGAAGTGTTTGAAGAATGAAACATGAAGAATAGAAAACTGAAGATAGAATAGCGAAAATTGAAGATATTGAAAATTGAAGATAGGGGGAAGAGAAATGAAGGGTTGAGCCTTGTTGTGATGAGATGTGCTTTTAGGGCAGAGGGGCATGAGAAATAGGAGTTAGAAGATGGAAGAAAGGTGAAGATAGAATGAGGGCCATCTGGGCTCATGATTTGGGGAATGGAGAAGAAATACGTCCTACATTGGGTACGAGCTTTCACTCTTACTGTCTGTAATCCTCACTGTCTTTCTCTCTCCTAGCCACCTTGAAAGCCTGATGCTGCTGCCTCTGCCTTCATGACTGGAAGCATTTCAATTCAAAATGTTCTCACTGTCTGAGCACTTGGTCATGTTAAATGTCTGACAGATGGTCAGTAATATCTTTAGCGATGTCAATTGTTCATTTTTAGAAGTAAAGCAATACCAGCGAAATTAAGGTGCGTAAGTGAGCCAGTTTTTAGTTTTATAGATACATAATGTTGTAGGTTTTATAAATGGTAAATATGTCACCAATTGTTTCAGTAATGAAAAAAGCCATTGTGAAGAAGTTATAAAAGTTTCTTTCTTCGAAACATAACTTGATATTTTCCTGGTGTTAATTATTGACCCAAGAAACATTGATATTGTGTGGAGTCTGTATTCAGCTGAACATGATGTTAGTTGGCGGAAGCAGCAGTGTCAGGTTTTTACCTGTCGCAGACTGTGCTTGTGTAACCTCCTGTGTCTCGTCACTTCAGCATACTTTACTGTGGGTTTAAACTAAATCTGGGAAGAGAACCTAACACTTATGAACCTAGTACTTATGAATTTTTATGCAGCTCTGGGAATGTACTTGTTGCCCCATAAAGTCATGTTAAACCCTTCTTTAAATCCTTATTTGGAATGAAGCCAGTTTAACCTTTATGTATTCGAGTAATGGCATGAGCTTTAAGAGTAAACGTTCCGGAAACAAAGCTTAGGAATCAGTTCCCCAACCTGTCCTTACTGCAAAATCCATCAATTTTCAGTACTTGAACATAAATAATGGTATGAGAAACAGGTAATGTAAATTCTCTTCAACTATCTACCAAGCAGTACTCCAAGACCATTCAGTTCATCTTGGTCTGGGTCTCTTGGTTCTAAAAGGTTTTTAATGTAACCATGGTTGTGTTAAACATCAAGCCATTCAGTAATTTGTAAGTTATTTCAGTTCCTCTTTTTGATGGTTTAAGGGAATAGTAGGTTTGTTTTTGGAGTTGCGTCCCTTTACCTTTGCTTGCTGTGTAAGTAACAGTGTAGTAGACCCGACACCTTTCAATAACTGCATGGTGTAGGAAGATTGTTGGAACACTGTGGTACCTACTGGTCTAGGTAAACTGAGGGCAGAGGTCTTGATTTTGACAGAAGAAGTGTTGTTTTTCAGGGTTGTAGAGACAGAAATGTGAGCTCAGTATGCTCAAATATGTAGAATGGATGCACAGACAATATCTAGACATACAAAAAATACTAGTCATTGGGCCAAATTCCAATCAGATCTGAAGTTTGTTGTACTTGAATTTTTTATTAGTTAATGGGGTCGAAGGAAGTCTAGTTTTGTTTGACAAGCCGAGGTAAACCCATATTTTATTGTAAACTTTAAGAATAAATGTACTTGTGAAACTTATGAAATTTTTAAAAATACTTAAATATTTTCGGAAGAAACAATCGCAAATGCATACAGGGTCAGATATTCTGTTGCATTTTGAGAGTGGACATTGGGGAAGAGTCTACCTCCTTATGGTGAGGTAATCATAGTAAAGAAATTTAGGAATAGCGAATGAAGATATGTTTCTTTCTTCATCAGAAAGCAGTTGTTTTCTACATTTTAAATACATTGATCACTGTGACTACCCTGATGGTATGTGGACTCATCTTGTGGTGGTGGTGGTGGCAAGTTACATGTTTGGATCATGTTCTAGACCAGAATTCCCTCATTTCTGGTACCCCCTTGTGTGATATTGCTCAAACCACACTCACTTCATCCAGAGCCAGTTGTAAGCAGCCATTATTCCTGAAAGGTCTCATAGACACATTATTTTCATTTCATAATAAGAGGTGGATAAATGAAAACAATCCCAGTTATTTTGGTCACTTATTTGTCCAAAGCTTACTGTAAAAGTTTTTTCCTTTTCATTACATGTATATGACTTGCGAAGACAAAGGTCTTGATGTTGAGGTCAAAAGTAAATTTAAATTTGCTTCCCATCTAATTTTTATCAACGTTATCACTCTGAATCAACTTGTCAGTTGAGGAAAATGTTATTTTATTGTACGGCCAAATTAAAAAATTGTTTTGGGTATTTGGAAAGTTGCTCAAGATTTGGCAGGACCAATGTTACAAGGTGAAGTGATATATTTTCGTAATACTACAAACAGATGTTGGTGCTGTTGAATGAGAAGGCATGTTGAGTCCTATCATTTGCTGGCAAAGGCTATGGTACAGGGTTAAAGGTAGCCCCCACTAACTTGTCTCAACACAAATTTTCAGGAGATTAATTGAGAAGTATTCAAAATGTTACTTGGTAAGTGTAAGTTTGTAGTTTCTCCAAAGTTTAAAAAAAATCTAAACTATTCAATCTTTTGTTTATATTTCAAGAAAGTTTTCAATTGATTTTTAGCATATCCACAATTTCTTGCTGTTCAGCATGGACTTTTTGCTCTTTCGAACTTTACAATATTGGCATCAGTACATCATTTGTTATTACACAGTACAGTGTATATTGCTGTCCCTGTGTTTACTGTACAAAAGTAGCTGCACTTGAAATCTGGGTTGAATGCACCACTAGTAGATGCACATGCATGCACTTTCTTTCAGCTGACGATGGTAAGTAATCAATGGCTGCACCTGCTCTGGGGCTGTTTCTTGATTCAAACAATCATATGCTTAGGTTCAGATTTTGGCTTACCTTTCAATCCTTTTCTGTGGAAATCCTTTCTTTATCCAGTTGCACAAGATTCTGTATTGATTCAGTGAGTATTGAAAATAATTCTACCTGATTTTTTTTCTGAATTCTATGTTTTGGACTTTATCAAATTATATTCTGTCATCAAGAATGTGATGGGACTTGGATGAAAAGAGTTCATTTTCAGCTACTGTTGGTTTGATGGTAAGTATGGTAAATATAAGAATGAGGGACCAAACTGAGTACCGGTAACAACCTGGAGAACTTTGGATAGTTGCAGACAACGTTGACACGTGACGACACCAACAACCGATGAAGATGAAGCTTGGCAAGGTTAACTGTACATTCAAACTGTGGCCTCAATAAACACATTTATCAAAAAGTCAAGTCATATTCAAACAAAATCAGTTTATGAAATATCAAAGCCCTCTATTGGGATCATGTACTTGCATTGATGAGCTACTGAATAAGAAATAGTCTTAAGTTTCTATTTCGGTTTGGTTGAAATAATCATTAATCGTTTACATATTGTCCCCAGTTTGATTTACAGAAGTGCTTTTCAGAAACTTGCAACAAAGTGTATGTATTTCATGCTCTGACATTAAATGAGACATTCATTTGAATATATGAAATAGTTGTTTTGATATTACTCCAAGAGAGGTATCCCAGTGTGGTAGTTCATGATGGAAGCCAGTTTGGTGACCTAGTGAAGAATACCTAAGGTTAACTCCCAACAGGGGTACAATGTGTGAAGCCCATTTCTGGGATCTGCCATATGATATTGCCAAAAAGGACATAACACTATACCCACTAGCTCCATGCCTGAAGAACTAGTCATTGGTTCGATAGGTTTCCAACTGAAGATCCTGGCATCCAGAGGTTTGTCTGGTCTGCATTTTTGTACATTAGATGAAGAACGAGGACAATTTTTTTGGATATACGCCTTTATATTCTGTATGCGTGACGTTTCAACATAGATTGCACTCGCTTGCTTGACAGCGACATTTGAATCTGTGGAAACGTCGCCAATACAGAAGTTGTATGTCCATAAAAATCGTCCTCATTCTTTATCTCAACTTGTAGAATGCCAAAGAGGAGGACATTAGATACATTTGAGATTTTGCAGACTGAAGAGTCAGTTTTGTGGTACCACACTATTTGGGTCGCTCTGTGTGAAAGGTTTTCAAACTCGGGCACAGTCTGGGATTCTGCAATTAACTGTCCAGATTTGCATCCACTATGCATGTTGGAAACGTATGATCTCAGTTTGCCTGATTCTTTCAAAGTTTGTTAGCACCAAATGAACATGTCCTGATGCCTTTTATGTTGGTGCAGTTCTATTGTGGATAAGTCAACAAGGTTTGGTTTGCTTATCTTCAGAGCAGCATCCTTATTAATACATGTCTACGTGGAAAGTTACAGCCCTGTAATTTGGCATCAGCTTCTTACATGGGCAGAGAGAGATGTAACGTGAGTGGATATTGGTGTCCAAGCAGTCAGAAGCACCAATGTTCACAGCAGTTTTGGTCCGCGTCCATGGTGTAGTGGTTAGAGCGTCCACCTGGAGAGTGGAAGGTCGCAGGTTCGATCTTCGGCCGCGGGTTCGATCTTCGGCCGCGTCATACCAAAACATCTTAAAATATGGTACTTGTTGGTCCCTGCCTGGCTCTCATTAATGGGTAAAACAAGGACTGGTCGGCTTGGAGTCTGTATAATGTCTATGTGGGGTGGTATTCATGCGACGTGGTATCTCAGTGAGCTAGCACTATAAAACCAGCTCAAGTCTTAGCAAGTACAAGCACACATACACACAGTCATATGAGCGAAATATTCTTAAGTACGACATTAAACCCCTTTTCACCTCACCTCACAGCTGTTTTGGGGGCGGTGGGAAGCCTTGTGGTTGGCTCTTGCGGAAGACCCAGGTTCGATTCCAAACCCTCCCGTGATGTTGCTGGAATATTGCTAAAAGCGGCTCAAAACCATACTCACAGCCGACTTGCGCCCATTGGCCATGCCAGAACTTCCTTCCTTCATTGTTAGGAAGCAATGAGCTCCGACATTCTCACAAGGTACGTGAAGGTCATAATTGACTGTTGCCTGTCGAGTAATGAATGTTGGACAAAAAGCAGCGGTATGTCTCCGTACTAACGCAAAAATTGTCATTCCCATATTCCTTTCGGCACGTCATAATATCTTCTGTCACACTTCATTATAATGATGGAATATGTCCGTATTTTGTTAATTATTAATATTATCATACAGAGATCACTGGAAACAAAACATTACAATTTAGGAATATTTCAGGTTATTTGCAGCTGTTTTCAACGTTTTTATTCACTTTCACAATGGGATATGATCGTTCGACAGTTTCAGAAAGTTTTGTACAAACTATACTACTCCAATTTGATAGGGATCATAGAAAGTTTTATGAACATAGGAAAGCAAGTTTTGTTACTGCCGTTGATAAACTAGACATTTTTTAAAAGGACATGCAGGCAGTGTCATATACACATACACGTGCATTTCATGACATTAGATGAGGATGCAGCCTCACTTTTCTTGCTTTGATGTAAATATCAAGTTGTCTTCACAAGTTGATTGTTGAAGGTTTTGACATTTCCATGCTTTTGTCATTACATTTAATACTTATAATGCCTCATCAACGTCAAAGACGTCGTTTGATGTCAGCGCAATTGTCAAGATGCATCAGCATGCTTGAATCCGGCTTCTCACAACATAACGTTGCGAATGCGCTAAACGTCAGCCAAAGCGTTAACAGTGTGGAACATTTGCTACAGCAGCACACTGTCATGGTCGTGGTGGTTGTCAAATGTCGACTACACAACGACAAGACCACTTATCACCGTTCAGGTACCACGTCATCCTTTCTAAATAGCCACCAGCCTCCCAGGCGGCGCAGGACCGCCTACGTGATGTAGTGGTTAGAGCGGAAGGTCGCAGGTTCGATCCACGACCGCGTCATACCAAAAGACGTTAAAATATGGTACTTGTTGGTCCCTGTCTGGCGCTCAGCATTAATGGGTACAACAAGGACTGGTCGGGTCGGAGTCAGTATAATGTGTCTGAGTGGGGTCTTCATGCTTCACTGCGGCATGGTATTTCAGTGGGCTAGCACTATAAAACCAGCTTCAGTCTGGGCTAGTACAAGCAGCCGCACATACACATACACACGCATGCACGTCGTCATATGAGCTAAATATTCTCAAGCACGAAGTTAACCCCAATTTCACCCCACCTCACCTAGGCGGCGCGGTGGACGAACTGGCTAAAGCGCTAGGCTAGTTATCCAGCGAGCTTGAGGTGACAGGATCGAGCCCACGTGTAACCGGGTGTAAAAACCTTGGAGTCAGCTTTGTGTGCAGACTCTTTCAGTGTTGTCACAACCCCTAGTGGACAGTACACAACCCTGTGCACTTAAAAGAACCCACGAATTCGTTGGTATATGACCAGATGGTGACCACATGAATACGTGCAAACACCCAGTTGCAGGTACAGCAACGTGCAGTAAACTTGGACAAAGAACTGTGACTATCTGTCCCAGTCCACCCAGCTGTGAATGGGTACCCCGTAAGGATGGGAATGCCACAATAACTCGGTGCGCCTAGTGGCTGCAAAAGTTGTATGCTCCCCCCAGGGAGTTGAGATTGACAATACGATGTGCCGTTGAGATTGACATCCAGTGAACGAGGGAAAAACAAAGCGCCTTTGAGCAGCTGAGCTGAGCTGGATATCGGCGTTATACAAATGATATGTATGTTTGTATGTATAAATAGCCCCTTAACGCCTCGAGCGTTACCGTGTCCACCCAGGCAATACGGAATCGTCTTCATGCAGCTGGCCTCCAAGTGGACGTGTTCGCATCCTACTGACCGTACGTCACAGGCGGGAACGCTTGATTGCGGCTCTTTATAGCTAAAATACCTGGAATTATCATGAAACAGACCGCCCATTATCAGAAATTTGCGGTCCGCTGCAAATGATATTGGACCGCTCAACCTTAACGACGGGCCACTATCAGTTCTGTTGTCAAGTGACGTCATAGTTCGACATTAATTGGGTTTCGACTGGCAATTATTCTGGGTCAAACAAGTCAAAGCAACCCAAATTCCCGCTTTAAATAGCGGTAATGTGGGCTTTCTTGTTGGTGCTAACCTTAACAATTGCACTATTAAGACTGTTGATGGACCAAAACCGAACACCGTCATAGTTTGACAGGTTGCAGGCTATGGTCTTGTCAAAGGCCAAGGTCGAATATCGTCACTTTCTGTTGTGACGTCACTTGAATTGTTCGATGACGTAATTGCATTCGGGCAGTCAAGCCCGTCAGAAGTTGATTTGGGTAAACTTACAGTCCGATTCCTTCATTGTTTCCTTTTTCTTTTCAACACAAATTCCATGTATTTTAGCAATAATAACGGTAATGCTATTTTTGAGGGCATTATCATTTGCAGAAGCCTTCGTCGGGCAGTTAATGGAAGACCTCGGGCTTTTTGATAACTGCCCATTTCACTTGGACACATAACGACTGGGCAGTTAATGAGAATGGACTTTACTGACAGAAGGCAACGGTTGTGACGAAGAGAATGGGAAAGGTTGAACGATGCTAATCATAGCGAACACGATTGTTATGGGGGAGGATCCATCATGGTCTGGGGAGGAATCAGCAGAATCGGAAAAACTGATCTGCATGTCATGGGAAGGGGCACGGTGACAGGCGTACGGTGCAGGGATGAAATCCTTAGTGTGTATGTGAGACCCTACGCTGGTGCCGTTGGTCCAGAGTTCATCTCGATGGACGATAACGCCCGTCCCCATCGTGCTAGGGTGGAGGACCAGTCTCTGGAACAGGAAACAATTGTCCGTATGGAATGCCCCGCGCCCTCGCCGGACCTAAACCCTATTGAACACGTGTAGAACATGCTGCGGGTAGCCATTTCCGGATGTCGGACACAACCCGGGACTCCAGAAGAAGTCTGAAATGCCCTGGTCGAGGAATGTAATAATCTTCCAATTGGGAGCATCACGGTTCTTATTGACAGCATGAACCGTCTGTCGTTCAGGCACAGGGAGGCTATACCCATTATTGACATTAATTTTGAAATGAATAAAATCAAAAGACACCTCTCTGTATCCAGCTTGCCATTGTTCGCCTTTTCATGATCAAATGCAATTTTGGAATGCAGTGCACTCTTTAACATTAAACGCTCAAAACAGTCGAATTTCAATGAATTTCTGAACCATTAAATGAGTTGACTCTTTACAGAAGTCTTGTTATATCTTTTCCAACGTTTGCCGTGGATTAACCACTCTTGACGTGTGATCCCTATCAAATTGTGAGTAGTATATTTAAAGTTTGTATTCACAAAGGACACGAAAAGTCTTTTCAGAATGGCGCACTTTAATATGCTAACTTTTCTTATGTATTAGCCAGTGGTGAAGCCATCCTTGGAGATGAAATGTCGCCACCTGTTTATAATGATCCATTCTTGTCGCCACCATTGTGCCTTCAGCGCCCAAGACAGTCTGCCGTAGCGGGTAATCAACACTGATTATTCTCTGGTGTTACTGTATTATATATTTTCGTGTGATCCTTGATGTCGATA